GGCAGGTGGGAAAGCCTGCGTAGGAAGGTGGGAAGACTACAATCCATTCAACAGGACCACAGTACTAAGTGCACGGTTAGGAGTGGTGACAGAGAACACCAGAAAGGCTGGCAAAGCCAGATACTAAGGAGCCTATCTGCAGAATAAAGCACTTGGGACTTCATCCTGTGGCCAGCGGGGAGCCACTACAAGCTTTTAAGGTAACATGTGCCCCAGTCTCAACTCAGAAGTATATTCCGCCAGCACAGTAGACAGATTTTAGAGGAACAAAATTACAAAACATAGAAATAGCAACAAGCACGGTGCCTGGCACACAAGAGCAGCTCACTAAAATGTAATTCAATCCAAGCTCCTTAGGGCAGCATGGTATTGAGAAAGCCTGTCACACAGATCAAGATGTGAGTGGGGCAATTCACTCAACTGCTTCAATCCTGTTTCTTCACCTATAAATTGCGTACAATGCTTCCTCCGTGCATGGGAAAACACCAAGGTCAAACTTCAGTTGCCTTCCTAAGACCATGAATGTTGGTGCTCAATCAAAGGTTTTCTGGTTTCTGTTGGATTATAAAACATACTTAGAATATCCTCCCAAGTGTTCCCCCCAACCCCAACATGCACATACACAACTAAATCCTACATTTAGTCAGCATTCGGACCAGCCTCAGCTGACTTCTGAGTGGGCAAAAAGATCCCTTCCCTAGGTGCTCACAAAATCCTGTGATGATCTCTAGGCTAAACCTTATATTGAAACCAACTCTTGAAGTATTTGTTTCTCCCTCCAGATGATGAGCACCTTGAACAATTATTTTATCCAGCACAGGGTCTGGAACCTGGGTGCTCCAGTGATGCTGTAGGTTAAACTGACCAGCAGGTTAAAGAGGTACAGGAACAATGCACAGGATCCAGAGAGAGGGAAGGAAGAAGTCAGAGGCAATCACACCCCTACATCAGGAGTGACTCAGGCCCCTGGAGGGAACTAGGAAAGAGTAAGCCGGGCTGGGGAGATGAGGAAATGGGGAAGAGGCCTCCCCCAACCCTTTCCTTCTAAGAACACAAGACTGCCCTTCTCTGTTTTGCAGGGGAGCCTTGCCTTCAGGGTCTCCCCTCCATCAACCAGACTTCCCCATCTCACTGCCCCATCAGACCTAGGGCTATGGGGGAGGGGAGACACCTGCATCCCTCCCAGACTCCTTCCCCCTCAGGGACCAAAGATCTCTACCAGAACCCCTGCCCAGCCAGCCTTCCAGAATATCTGGCCCACAGCTGGAGTTTCACATCAAGGACCTGGGACGACCTTAGGTATCATGTCACTCAACCTTTCACTGTACAGAGAAGGAAACTGAGGCACGGAAATAGGGAAGACACTAGCTGAAGGCACACAACACACTAGAAGCAAAGCTCAGACCCAGAACTCCTGGAACCCTAACATGCAAGTGCCACCAAAACCTCAGGATGCTCTAGGCATGATAGGGATCACCAAGTATCTCACTCCTGCTGGAGCCACTCCCCTGGAACCTCAGAGGAGGCTGGGCTGCCAGAGTCTGGGCAAGGTGTATCATTTCCTCCTCCCCAATCTTTGCTTCCCTGAAGCAGTCCCACTGGCTGCCCACTGGGTACTCACAGACTGCCCGAATACTGGCTGCCCCCAAGGAAGCCATACTTGTCCGTCTTGCGCAGGGCCAGCCCATTTATCTCCGAGTCTGAGCCCATGGAGCTCACATCATCTGCCAAGGACTCCAAGGTCCCAGACATGAGGCTTACGGAGTCCAAGTAGCTCAGAGTGTCCGGGGCCTGCCCTCGAGGCCCAGAGATGCCGGGACCCAGGCTGGACGTGGAGCCTAGGTCCTGAGAGTTTTCAGCAGGCTCCGGAGCTGGGGTGACCGTCACGACAGCTACCAGAGCCTCACATGTCCCTGAAGGGCCTAGGCCAGGCCCTGAGGGGTCCTCTGGAGCCTGTTCAGTTGATGCTGATGTTGCTCCTGCAGCTCCATGTCCACTTGTCACCTGTCCTGCTGTCACTGCTGCAACCCGCGCAGTCACTCCTGAGGCAACTGTGGTCCCCGGCTTGGGGGCAAGCGGGGGTTTGGCGGTCAGAGCCCCAGGAGCCGTTCTGGAAGGGGTCCTGGTGGGGGTCCCGGTGGGGGTACCTGGTCCAGGGGCGGTGGAGGTTCTAGCTTCCTCCGTCTTCGGAGAGTCGGCCCCCGGGCCCAAAGCCATAGACATCTCGGCTCCTGCCACTGCCGCGGGCACCAGGGCTTCTGAGCCAGGGGAGACCTGCGCCCTCGCGGCTTCGGGTGAGGCCTCCAGCGTCAGCACCACCACTGTGCTGCTCGTGACGGCCGGGGCCGGGGCCGGGGCCGGGGCCTGGGTGGGCTCCGGTACCCAGGCGGGCCGCGCCTCCCCGGGGGCCACCAGGGTGACCGGGGCCGAAGTGGCCGTGGTCACTGGCGGCCCCGGAGCCACCACCACGACGGGTCCGGCCCGGGAGCCGCGGGGCGGCGGCGAGGGGGCCGCGGGGGCGCCATGACGGCGCGGCGGGGCCACCAGGGGCGCCGGGCCCGTCTCCATGGCCGCGGGCCTCCCCTCACATCCCCCCGCCGGGGCGGCCGCAGAAGGCGCCGCCCCTCAGGCCGCTCCGCGCCGCCCGCCAAGGAAGGGGAGAAGGCTAAGGGCGCGGCCCGGCGCGCGTCGGGGACGGGGGCGGGCGCGCGGGCCGCCGCCCGGCGCTCAGAGGCGTGGCAGGGGTCCCGGGGCGCCAGGCGCCGGGGTCCCGCTCGCGCCCTCTCACCCCTTGCGCTCTCTCGCCGCCTCCCCCTCCCTCCTGCTTCAGGCGAGCGGCCGACCTCGCGCCTGCGCACATACCCCAGTGCCGGCTAAGCGGCCAGCGTTTCGGCGTTTCACGCCTGCGCGCGGGCAGTCCCATCGCGCTCCTTTTTTTTCTCCCGCCTTGTCAGAGTGTTTGGACGAATAATAGGAGAGAGGGAACTGGGTTTCTGCCAATCGTGGGAAGGGTGGGTGGGGTTGGAGGTGGGAAGGGGCTGGGTAATTTGGAAAGAGGAAATGGAGAAGGCGGAGGGCTATAAGACCAATGAAAGGGTGAGTGAAGGCAGGAGGAGGTGGAACGAAAGAGATAACTAATAGAAAAGCGGGAAGCTGAACCTCCTGGCCAGTAAAAAAGGCTGGAGAGTGAATGACCACGGAAGGAGGCGGGGGCTGCGCGAGAAGAGGCCAGCCTGGCCAATGAAAACAGTAAAAAGGGAGCCAATGAAAAAGGGGAGTAGGCGGAGGTCAAGTTGACAGACAGTGGTGTCTCTTTGGGAGGTGACAGACAGCATCTGCAGTCAATAGGAAGAGCTGAGGAATTCTTTAGGTCTCCCAAGAAGGTCAAGAAGGAATGACAGCTGGGGGGGCGGGCCAGAATTGCTATTAATTTGCATCGTCAGCCAATGAGCGTATTCCCACACTTTAGCAACAGGGAGGGGAGATAGACGGCTGTCTCAGCCAATGGCAGCATCCAAAGGGTAGGGGAGCCGCCAGCGGCGGTGCCAGCGCAGGGATATCGGTGACAACCGGAGACAAGCGCAGGAGGGGGTGACAGTTGGGGACAGCGCCGAGAGGGGGCGGGGGCCAGGGACATTGGAGCAGTCCTTAGCCAATAAGAGCGCCGCGCTGCTTTGCTTGAGTCCTTTTTGGGCTGCCATTCTCTCTCTCTCTCTCTCTCTCTCTCTCTCTTAAGTAGGTTCCACAGCCAAGGTGGGGCTTGAACTCACGACCCTGAGATGGAGAGCCGCATGTCCCACCGACTAAGCCAGCCAAGGGCCCCCTGGACTCCCATTCTCCATCCAGAGCCGCCTCACTCTGGTGGTCTGTAAGAGCCCACCACAGATCCAGTGCCCTGATCAAGTACTCTCAACCTCCACTCTGTCTCTAATTTTCATTCCGACCCGCAACCAACCTCAACACTCAAAGCCCAGACGACTATGACCAGAGCCCCCAAATCCTCTAAGTGACCCATCTCCCTGGATCCTCCATTTCCTATAGGAATCCCAAGCCCTAAGTCCTTCTCCTCAACACCTCCCCTCCCCCATTATCTCATCTCCTCCCCAGAATCCAGGCTCTAATTCCTTGGACCTCATCCTCTCAGTGCCCCCCCATTCTAGTGGGTATCCTAGACCCCAAACCATGAATTCCCAGTAACATGAACTCCCATATCTCTGTTCTTATTCTTTGGGGGATCCAGGACCTGTCCCATCAACTCCTCTCCCATCACTGCCACACCTCTCTGTACTCCTCATTTTCTGCTAAGAAAGCAGACCCCAATCTCATGAGCCCCCAGGCTACCATAGATCACAAACACAAAGCCCTGACTTTAGGAGTCCCATCTCTCTCTGACCCCCATCCCTTTGAGCCTCAGGGTTAGAGGGCCCCACCTTCCATACAGAGTCCACCATCCTGGAGTTTCAGTCAAGCCTAGCTCCCAATGTCCCAGGTCCTCCTTGGTTTCGGAGTTCTCCCAGGCTACTCGTTCCCAGCTCAGACCCAGATCCTGTGTATTCCCATTCAGTGTCAGAGTTAGATATACAGCTACCTGAGCACTTTCCCCTTCCCCTCTTTGGAGTTTTTCTCCCCTCCCAGAACCCAGAATCAAGTGGGCTCCTCCCTGGGCCTAGACCCCCATGGTAACCGTATAAGGTGAGGCAGCTGTCAATTGAGGCAGGGAGGGGCCGGTGTAGGAGGCCAAGGGCAGCTGCTAAGTTTAGGGTGGCTCCTTCTCTCTTCTTAGAGACAACAGGTGGCTGGGCCCCAGTGCCCAGAAAAGAAAATGTCTTAGAGGCATTGGCATGAGACTGGAGGAGGGCAAAGGGAAGAGTCACCTTCCTCAGGACATCGGGTCCTAGAGGGAGCAAGAGAAGGAGGAGACGTGTGTCCTTGCCAGCCTTGGCCTCGTAGGGGGCTTCCTCAGCCACTATTTCCCCAGGAGAGGGTACCTCAAAGTCACACAGTCAGCCAAACTGGTTCTTGCCCAGAATGAAGAAAGGAGCCACTGGCCACCCCAGCCACCCGGAAGGAGGTGACCAACTAGCTTCCCTCTTGGTATTTTGACCCCCCTCCTCTGAGTTCCAACTTTCACAATAGGATCCAAAGAAATGAGTATGGACTCACACCAGGTTATGTTCTCCTGTGTCAAACTTTTCCAAGGCTCCCAAGGTCTCAATCCTCAGCCTGGCATGGAAGACCCTCCAATTTCTGGTCTCCAGCCTGCACCCTCTGCTCCAGCCCCATCACCATTCTGGCAATCTGATTTTTCACTTCTCCAGGCCTTTGTCCATCTGTGCTCTCTGCTTAGCATGCTTGCCCCTCCACTTTCACCTGACTTACTTTCCCTGGCCTTCATAAAGTCATCCCCATAGTCCCACACAGGGCTACTGTGCTCTCTACTTTTGTGCTCCTAATCAGCTGTTATGACATTTTCTGCCTTTATCCTGTCTCCACAGCTAGGCTGTAAGTCCACTAAGGCAAGGCATAAATACTAATTGTAATGATTATATTTCACTAAACTGTTTCCAAATAGTGTGCATATCCACAAGTTCTGTGGGATGGGGAAGACAAGGCCCAGGGAGTTAAAGGACAAAGCGCAAGATCACAGAGCAGGCTTTCTGCTCCAGGCTGTCTAGCCTCTTTCTACCTGGTCATTCTATGCTTGGCATCTTTTCTTGAAACATCCTCCCTGCCCCCACCAAAGGGGATTTGGAAGACCTTCTTGATTCTTCAGCTTCTTAGACAGCTGTCTCCCTTTCAATTCTGCCACTACCCCACAAACATACATATACTTGACTGTGAACTCCAGAATGGGAGTGGGGGACTATGCTTGCCAGGGGGCACCCATGAGGCACAGCCCAGTGCCTGGCATACTGTAAGTGCTCAATAATTTTACTGGCTTTAAATCTGGAGGGGCGCCTGGCTGGCCCAGTTGGTAGACCATGCAACTCTTGATTTCTGGGTTGTAAGTTTGAGCCCCACATTGGGTGTAGAGATTACTTAAAAATAAAAAACCTTTTAAAAAAAAAACACAAATAAATAGAAACATAAAAATGTTAATTTCAAAATAAGGAATATTTTTTAAATAAATAATAAATCTGGACCCACCCCACTCAGGGGTACAGGGGCCTGACTTATCTTTCTCCCAGTACAATGCCTCAGTTTGTGTCTTCTCTGAACTCTGGCACATTCAAGCCCCCTTTTGGGAAAGAGAACATCCCTTCCTGCCCAGGTCCTAGTGAGCCATGCATCCCAAGACCCACTCCCTCCTCCCTCCCTGGGCTCCAGCTGCTGCCGGCCCTCCAAGAAAGGAGAGGCCCTGAGCCGGGCTATTTTGGTATCTGGGGTGGGCACCCACAGGGCTAAGGTTACCCTGGTATGTTGAGGGCTCCCTTGGGGCAGGACTATATAACCCCAGAGGGATCGCCACAGGCTGACTCTGCTCCTTTCCAGCCAGAGCCACTGCTTTGCCCCCAGGAGACTGAAGACATGGTGAGTAAGAATCCTCCAGCCCCTACCCAGATCCCTCAGACCTCAAGGCAGCCTCACTTTTTAAAAGAAAGTAGCTGATTCCCAGTCCAGTAAGAGGAAATAGATGAATCTTCCCTTTCTTGGCATTGCTAATGAGGAGCGTACAGAACGATGGCCTAAATGACCCAACCCAGTCTGCCCAAACTCTCCACTCACAGGAGACCCATCCCTCTCAAAGCATGCTCCATACCTTCCTGCACTCCCTCTTCCTAAAACCCTCTGGGACCTATCAGGCAAGGATTCCAACTCCCATTTTGTAAATGGGAGAGTCAAGGTTCAGACAGGGTGAATGAGTAGATCAGGGTCACACAGCAAGTCTGGGACTCAGAGGAGGCAAGCTCAGGGCACTGAGAAGGGGACTCGACTTGTTCAGTAGAATGGAGGATAGGAATTTGGGGATACAATCAAAGCAAGTCCCTCAGCAAAGAGCTCATAAGGAAGGGAAAGCCTAGAACCAGAAGAGTTGCTTTAGAAAAATGACTCAAAGAACCCTGAATCTAATCCATTGCCTCCAGAGAAGAGGAGGGATTGGCCCATGGACCCCTTTACCCATCCCTCAACCCCCAGGCACCCAAGAAGGCCAAGAGAAGGGCAGTGGCAGAGGGCGGAAGCTCCAACGTCTTCTCCATGTTTGACCAGACTCAGATCCAGGAGTTCAAGGAGGTGAGTAAGGGGAGAAGGGAGACTGAAGACTAACCAAAGGCCCCCCCTGCCGCCCCTCCCCCCCAACACCCCCCTCCCTGGAATGTGCACCTGTTTGGGGGGAGGGGAAGGGCTTAGAACTCCTTGCTCCCCTCCTCATTTGGCATGCAAAAGAACAGCTGGCTGGGGGCCAGAATCTGATCTGCCTGGGGTAGGGATGCTGAAGCCTGGCCATGGGGGACCTAACCCCTCCCTGCCCCTGCCTTCCACAGGCCTTCACAGTAATTGACCAGAACCGTGATGGCATTATCGACAAGGAAGATCTGCGGGACACCTTCGCAGCCATGGGTGAGCCCCTTATCCTACCCAGAAAGATTCAAGGCTACAGAGTCCTGGGAATTCAGAAGCCTTGGGTTTCAGCCTTGCTGGTTCCACCCTGGGCCTCAGTCCACCCAGAGGAAAATGGGTGGGATGGTCTGAATTTATGGGAAGGATCAACCCTTGGCCGCAGGACCCCACTCCAGCTTCCCCCACCCTGCTCCAGGGCGCCTCAATGTGAAGAATGAAGAGCTAGATGCCATGATGAAGGAAGCCAGTGGTCCCATCAACTTCACTGTCTTCCTGACCATGTTTGGAGAGAAGCTCAAAGGTGAATGAAGTGTCCTGGGTCTAAGCCCCGAGCTGCCCCTCCCCAGACCTTTCAGGGACAGAACCTTCAAGGACCCTTTAGCTTCATGTGCCTTCTGATCCTCCAGGTGCTGACCCTGAGGACGTGATCACTGGAGCCTTCAAGGTCCTGGACCCTGAGGGGAAGGGCACCATCAAGAAGCAGTTGTAAGTGACCCTCTCCAGCTGCTCACACACAGAAAGCCTCCTTAAATTCTTTTCTTTTTTAAAGATTTTATTTATTTGAGGGGGGGGGGCAGAGGGAGAGGGAGAAGCAGCAACCAGATGACCAGAAGAAGAGAGGAGCTCAGTCCCAGAACCCCAGGATCATGACCTGGGCCAAAGGCAGCCGCTTAACTGACTTAACCCAGGTGTCCAAGCCTCCTTAAATTCTCAGCAAAGGTTAGGTATTAAGGGAGGGGATAAGGGAAAAATTAGCACTGTGGAAATGGGCTATAGGATTACATTTTCACAGCACATATGGGAAGGGAAGAGCAAAAGCAGAGAGGCCAGACTGTTTGGGAGACCAGTGAGGGATCTAGAGTGACTTGGGTTTTCAAGCTGATACTAGGAATGGCAACCAGGATGAGATGGGAGGGAGTGGAAAGGAACCACGAAGCCCAATCTCAACTCCCCATATGTCACCTCTCTCCAGCCTGGAGGAGCTGCTTACCACGCAGTGTGACCGCTTCTCCCAGGAAGAGGTGAGGGGGCGGGGAGGGCCCGGGAGATGCAGAGGGAGGGGGGAGGGGAGCATATGGAAAGGGTAGGAGACGCCCCTGAATCTTTCCCCAGATCAGGAACATGTGGGCAGCCTTCCCCCCCGACGTGGGAGGCAACGTAGACTACAAGAACATCTGCTACGTCATCACGCATGGCGATGCCAAGGACCAGGAGTAGGGGACCCACCCTCTTAGGCCTCTGCTGGCCAACGCCTTGCTGCCAGTCCGACCCCCCCACCCGACTCTAATAAAACTAAACTGGTCGTTGTTTCTTAGCGGCGGCGCCTTCGGTGCGTTTGTGGGAGAGGGGCTTAGGTGGGACGCGGTGCTAAAACACAGCCCGGCACTAAGCCAGCGCACAACAAATGAATAATTAGTGGCTGGGAGGTCTGGGTGGGGCGGTTTCGTTCCACCCGCTACACCCGCCACTTATTCCCGCTGGAAAAGTAAGACTTGCGTGGCCTCGGGGAAACTGTTTATTATTATTATTATTATTATTATTATTATTATTTAAGATTTACCCATTTATTTATTTGAGAGAGCGAGCGCGCGAGCTACGGGAGGGGCAGAGGGAGGGGGAGAGAGAGAAAATGTCTCGCCGACTCCCCGCTGAACAGGGAGCCCAAGGCTGCTAAATCCCAGACCCTGAGATCATGACCTGAGCCGAAATCAAAAGTCCCACACTTTAACCAACTGAGCCACCCAGGAGCCCTGAAACTGTTTTTATTGAAGTCACAGCTTGGGTGAAGAGCGGCGGGGGTGGGGCCAGGGGCGGAGCTGGAAGCTGGGGCGGGGCCGAGTGGGGGCGGAGCCAAAGGCGGGGCCACAGATTTGGGATTGGGAGAACCCGTTAGCCGGTGAGCCCCCTGCGGGGGCGGACCTCTCAGGCTGGGGCTCCAGGATTGGATGGGAGACCGACTGAAGGCGGAGCCGAGGTAAAGCGGGGCTCCGCGGGGTCCTCAGAGAGCTTCAGACTGCTCTCCCTGAGTCTGGCTCTGCTGCATCTGGGCCTGCATCTTCTCCAGCATCTCTTGCATGCGGCGCAGCTGTGCGGGGCAAGATTGTAGGCGTGGGATCGGGGAGGCCAGAGAGGGACTTCGAAGAGGACTTGGGGCCTTGTGGGGAGGAAGGGAGCGAGGTACTTGCTCACCTCTTCATCTTTCTCGCGGATCAACTTTTCGGTCTCGGCCAGAGGCAGCATGGGCAGCGGGATCTCTGTGGCGCTCTGGCGGGAGAGTTTACTAGGGGGCGTGGGAAAAGGGACAGGGAATCAAAGGCGGGACCCTCCGTTGTGGGTCGCAGAAGCGGGGCAGGGCGTGGGGCGACGTTGGGGCCTAGGAGGCAGGGCCATAGGTCCTTTCAATGCCGTAAGCAAAGTGGGTGGGGAGAGATTCTGGAAGAGTGGTCTGGATGGTGAAGGCCGGGTCCGGGACAGTGAGGGCCGGGTCTTGGGAGCCCCTGGGACTCAGGTCGGGCTCTCACCTACGGCTGGCTCGATCACGAGCCCCAGGCCGGGCCAGGCTCTGTAGGCAGCGGGCTCGGTAGCCCTCGTAGAGCAGATCGTGGGTCACCTCCTTCAGGTCCTGCAGGTGTGTTTGCACCAGCATCCGTCTCAGGTTCAGGAAGTCGCAGTGATGTGGGTTCTCCACTGAGGGGCGGACCGGTGAGCGTCAGAGAGCTTCGGGTCCAGCCCTATTGGCCGGGTCCAGTCGGCCCGGAGTCCTGCCCCGGCTCTAGGTGAGGGTCTGCAGTCCAAGGACCCCTCTTTTGGCCCTTAGGATCGCCGGGACCAGAGATCGCCCCAACTTCATATGTTGGGTGCGGTTGACCCAGAGGCATTCTGGGCTCCCTGTTGGCCTCAGAACGCGTGCCCACCTTACTCACCCTCCACGGTACCCCAGGAGTAGCGACGTCCCCTCACGGGACGGGTTCCGCCGTCCCTCACGACCTCGCAGGAACCAACGACTGCGAAAGGGATGCTTTCCTGGAGGGCAGGAGTCAGGAATCACCGTTGGACCCCCCCTGGGCAGAAACCTCGTTGTCAGCCTCCACCTCCACATCCGCCTCCCCTGCTTCTTTGCTCCTTCCTCCTTTGCCTCTGCACCTTCATCTCTGCATCCTGCCTCTTGAAGTCTTCATCCTCATCAGAGTCACAATCGGGGAACTGGTAGATGTTGATCTCCTCCTCTTTCAGCTGGTCCCGGATCTAGGAGCAGACATGCACAGACGGTGAGAAACAGAGGCTGTGCGCAGCAGACACTGCATGGCTGGACACTGATATACAGGTTCCAGGTGGTCAGAGACAGAGAGGAAGACATGAAAGACAGAGATGGTAACATACAGTATGCCCCAAACCAAAATCTCAGAGGGGCGCCTAGCTGGCTCAGTCAGTAGAGCATGTGACTCTTGATCTTGGGGTTGTGAGTTTGAGCCCCACATTGGGTGTAGAGATTACTTAAAATCTTGGGGCGCCTGGGTGGCTCAGTGTGGGTTAAGCATCCAGCTTGATTTCAGCTCACGTCTTGATCTCAGGGTCGTGAGTTCAAGCCCCATGTTGGGCCCCGCGCTGGGCGTGGAGCCTACTTAAAAAATAAATAAAAATTTGCAAATAAATAAATAAATAAATAATCTTTAAACAAAAAACCCTCAGACAACGAGAGATATAGATGGTGAAAATGAGACAAAGACACCCTAACAGGGACGACTGAGGTCTGGAAAGATTGTAAGATGAGGCCGACACCAGAGGCCCAGGAGAGAGAGGCCTAAGCATAAACAAGTAGGAGAGGCCTCTGAAGTCATGAGGCAGGTCATCATCCTGGGGCTGGAGGGATATCAAGAGTGCTCATGTCTTTGCTGCCGCCCTCAGACAGGCCTCAGCCAAGCATCCAGTCCAGGGATTCTATTCCGGGCCTCCAGAGACATGGCTCCTTCAGCCAGCTTACTACCCACCTTCCTTGGAAACTTTCTCCCACACTGTAGCTTGACACATTATACTTCCAAAAGGCAATCCCAAGATCAAAGAAGTCAAAGCTGAGTTCAGGTTTGATAACGACTTCTGGCTTCATGTAGGACCAAAGATCAGGGGTCACCAGACATACCCTCTGCTTGAGGGCCTGGGTTTCCTTAGGCATCAGGGCATCTGCTTTGCCAATGACTGGGATGATGTTGACCTTTTCGTGCACTGCCCGGAGGAAGGCCACATCTAGGGGCCGGAGCCTGCACAGAGTGATTGGTCAGGGCTCAGCCTTAGACCACAGAAACCCTCCCCATCCCTCTCCAAATACCCCAACCCCCCAGGGTGTCCCCAGACCCTCGGCCAAAGGGTGAGATGAAATAGAGGCAGCAGTGGACACGGGAATCCTGAATGTTCTTCCGGTTCAGGCCACTCTCATCCCTCAGATACTGCTCAAATTGCTCCTCAATGAAGCGAACCACAGGCAGCCAGCTGGGGTGTGGGGCAAAAGAGTAGGTCAGAGATGAGGGTTCACAGGGCAGGGAAGGCACCAAGGTTAGCCAGGACTGTGGGGGTAGGAAATAGTTTCTTGGGGTCCAACCAAAGACATCAAAGGAGATTGGGAGTGTTTAGGTCAGATGTCAGGAAGCACAGGGCACTCTGGGCCACATGGCCACCAGAAACAGGCCCCACCTTCTGGGGAGGGCAGGGGCAGAGCAGACCAGCCCTGGAACTGACCCCTCAGTCTTCATAGAGTAGCCACATTGGGAAGCTTAGTCCCTGCTCCTTCCCCTGCTCCTCACCAGTCTGAGCAATCCACGGAGTCCCCAAAGCCAGGTGTGTCCACCAGGGTCAGTTTCACCTTAATACCCCCCTCCTCGATCTCCACACCCCGGCGCTCAATGGTCAGCGTTTGTGTCAAGCGAGCTGTGGGGACGGGGAGAGGTCAGGGAGCTGGGTAGGGGTCTGAGCCAGGACTGATTTCCTTTCTCAGAATCACAGTTACCCCCACCCATTTTTAGGGGAGTCTCAGAGAAAAGCAGTGAGTGGCCCAAGTCCCCCAGAAAGTCAGGGGAGACCCAGATGAAAAGAAAGAGAGTGCAGCCTGGGGATGGGAGAGACAGAGTCCCTGGAGAGGTCAGGAAGGTCTTACCACTGGCTTCTGGCAGTTGCCGGTCCTCATAGAGATTGGTGAGAAACAGGCTGTTGATGAGGGTGGATTTTCCCAGGCCTGACTCCCCTGTAGGCAGGACAGACCCACCTGGTCAGGTGAGGAGACAGCCAGGGTATCTGGGGAAGCCTCCCCCAACCAGTCCCCTGTCCAAAACCCATCAGACCTGCCACCATGAGTGTGAAGTCAAAGCCCTTCTTGACGGACTTGCGGTGCAGCTGGTTGGGGAGGGCGGCGAAACCCACATACTCCTTGTCCTGTGGTGGGGGACAGTGTGAGGCTGCTGGGAGCAGCGGGCTGGGCCCCCAGGATAACCTGACCTTGTGGGTGAGGAGAAGTCAGCCTGCTGTGGGTTGACCTGAACCTGGCTACTCTGGGGGTTGGGGGCTGAGGGCAGAGATGCCTGTATTCTGGGGCAGAAGGACTCACCATGGCCCTGCTAGCTGTCGCTGCACCTGCTATCTCTCCCCACTTCCTCTGGTGGGGCAGGAAGTTGAGTGTGGCAAATAAGGGGGCGGGCAACGTAGGAAGCTGAGATGCTCGAACTGGTGGGGAAACCCAAGACCAAGAATACCTGGAGTTCTCACTTCCTGGATCCCTTTGGCTATCCCCCCATGAAGCTTCAACACCTCAGTTCTCTGCACACCCTTATTCCAAGCCCCCACTGTAGTCCCATCACCCGGGTAGATGGGGTGTAGGCAGAGAGGAAGGAAGCAGATTGGTGTCTCTAGCAAGTGAGATGAAGGCTTTGACTGGGATGGTTAAAAAAAAAAAAGTTCCCAGAGTCTAAATGGACCAAAAATCATAATAGGATTAGGGGTGGAAGGGGCCATCAATTTTCCTTACCAGCTCATGCAACTGATTCTTTTTCTTTTTTTTATGCAATTGGTTTCTTTTTTTTTTTTTTTTAAGATTTTATTTATTCATTTGGGAGAGAAAGAGAGCACTCAGCACATGAGTAGGGGAGAAGGGGGAAAACGGGGGGTGGGGGAAGGAGAGGGACAGAGGGAGAGAGAGAAGCAGACTCCCAGTGAGTAGGGAGCTCACCTTGGGGCTCGATCCCAGGACCCTAAGATCATGACCTGAGCTAAAAGCAGACACTTAACCACCGAGTCACCCAGGTGCCCCTTCATGCAATTGATTTTTGAAAGGACTTCAAGTCTTTGGACATCACCGCCAGAGAGACCTTCCTTTAGAATCCTGGCCAAGACAGTCCCCTGCTCTAGCCCCTTCAGGGGCTTCCCAGTAACTTCAGAATTAAGTCTGAGTTCTGGCCTGGCAGCCAGAACCTTCCACATCTGACCTTATCACCCATCCCTCACTTCTCCTTGGAGAATGCCCACATCCTTCACTCTGCCCACATTGAGTTGTTTTTTTTTTTTTTTTAAGATTTTTTTTATTTATTTGATGGAGAGAAACACAGCGAGAGAGGGAACACAAGTAGGGGGAGCAGGAGAGGGAGAAGCAGGCTTCCCGCTGAGCAGGGAGCCCGATGTGGGACTTGATCCCAGGACCCTGGGACCAAGACCTGAGCCAAAGGCAGACGCCAAATGACTGAGCCACCCAGGCGCCCCCACAATGAGCTTTTCCTTCTGCTCTTCCAGATCCTTCAAGGGTTTGATTCAAAGATCTCTTCTTCCTCCTCTAGGAAATCTTGCCCAGCTACCCCAGGCACAGTCATTTTCCCTCCTCCAAACTCTCTAACACCTTCCACAGACCTCTCCTCAATGCTTGCATTTATTTATCTGGCTATCTTCTCTACCGGCTGAGCTTTCTGAGGTCATGGACCATGTCCTCTTTAGTTCTGTATCTTCAGTGTCTTGCCAAGGCCCGCCACAAAGCAGGTGCCAATAAATAATATACTAGATGAATGCATGCATGGAGTAATGAGTGAATGAAGTTGGTCAGGGCCCAAGCCTAGCAGAACATGTAAAAGGAGCCTTGCTCTGGAGGCAGAAAGCTCTGCAAACCTCAGTTCTCCCACTTACTATGGGACCTTGGGTGAGTCATTGGACCTCTCTAAACTCCATTTTCCTCATGGTAAAATGAAATACACATATTTCCACTTGGTTATCAGGACTTGGAGTAGTTTCAGATGACATGAGCTTTGGAGTCAAATCAGCTGTATGCACAAATCCTGACTTTAGCCTCTACGACCTGAGTCACCTCTCCAGGCCTCTAAAGCTAGTCTTCCTACTATGGCCTATAAGGCCCTGCTAGAACTGGATTCCATCTACTGCTCCACCTCATTTTCTTTCTCCACTGCTTGTGGTTCTATTTATTATTTCCCTGTTAGCCCCTGTTGTGGACTCAACTGTGTCGCCCTCGGCCAAATTCATGTGCTGGAGCTCTAACCCTCAATGTGACTGTATTTGGAAATAGGGCCTTTAAGAATGTAATTGAGGTTAAATGAAGTCATAAGTCATAAGGGTGGAACCCTGATCCAATAGGTCTGGTGTCCTTATAAGAAGAGACACCCATGGGGCGCCTGGGTGGCTCAGTCGTTGGGCGTCTGCCTTCGGCTCAGGTCATGATCCCAGGGTCCTGGGATTGAGTCCCGCATCGGGCTCCCTGCTCAGCAGGAAGCCTGCTTCTCCCTCTCCCCTCCCCCTGCTTGTGTTCCTGCTCTCGCTATCTCTTTCTCTGTCAAATAAATAAATAAAATCTTAAAACAAACAAACAAACAAAAAACCGAAGAGACACCCATAATCTCAGCCCAGGCACAGAGGAAAGGCCACGTGACCATGTGAGGCCACAGTGAGAAGGTAGCTGTCTGCGACCCAAGGAGACCAGAAACCAGCCCTGCTGGCGCCTTGAGCTTGGACTTCCAGTCTCCAGAACTATGAGAAAATCAATAGCTGTTGTTTAAGACTCCCAGCCTGTGGTGTTTTGTTATGGCAGCCGGAGCCGACTGATACAGCATCGTAGCTCACTCCTATCCCTCATCCTAAGGCAACCACCCTAATGTGCTTCGAGTGTAGTTTTTTGGTTTGTATACATTTTGAAAAATGTGTAGTATACAGTGCATGTTTACACAAATGGTTATACATGTATATATGAATACATATTTGTTAACTTTTTCATTCAGCACTATCTTTTTAAAACTTTTTTAAAGCTTTTTTTTTTTTTTAAGTAATCTGTACCTCCAATGTGGGGCTCGAACCCATGACCCTGAGAGATCAAGATTGCATGCTGTTCTGATTGAGCCAGCCAGGCACCCCCTTCTGTACTATTTTTTAAGATCCATCCATGTTGCCATGTGTCTATCTTATTCTCACTCAAACTCATTTCTATAACTGTCCCCTTCGTGTAACCTTGGACATGAAGTCCAGGACCTCTCTGGACCTTACTTTCCTTATCTTTCAAATGGGATTGGAATCTCCTGCCACATTAAACTCAGAAGTTGTGCAAGAATCAGAGGATTATAGAGACATCGTGATTAAGAGATGTATGATCTTGGTGTGTGATCTTGGGCATCTTACTTTTACTTCTCTGTGACTTCGTTTCTTTATCTGTTAAATGTTAAATTAATAATTCTACCTCTTAGGGTGACAGTGGTCTAATTATATGGTCTAATACACATAAAGCTCTTAGTTCAGTATCCAGCATACGAGATGAGCGCCCACAGAATGCTGGTTATTGTTGCATTACTTGAGCGGAGGGCTGTGTCAGTACCACGGTCTCAAATCTAGTGACTGCTCTTTGCTGAGGATCCAGACAGCGGATCGGTTGGGGTTTCGGCCCTCTGGGAAGACAGAGACAGCCAGTAGTAAGTATGCCAAAGAACACTGGTGCTAAAAATGTCGTGCAACAAGGATATAAACAGAGGACTTTGAGAAGCCAAGGGAAAGGATAATTATACCCCTCCTCACTCCACCACAGCCCTTCCTCCTGCATTTCTTATCAAGCTGAGCAGGCCTAATGTCTTAATTAAAACTCTGAGCTCCTCCCCCTTTGCGCTGCACAAGTACATTTGACTCTTGACCAACACTGGTTTAAACCGTGTGGGGGGGGCACTTACATGCAGATTTCTTTTCAATAAATACAGTATTATAAAGGTATTTTCTCTTATGATTTTCTTTTTAAAATTTTTTATTTATTTTTTAAGAGATTTCATTTATTATTTGAGAGAGAGAGAGCAGGAGAGCACAAGCCGGGGTAGGGGCAGAGGGAAAGAGAGAAGCAGACTTCCCATTGAGCAGGGAGTCCAGTGTGGGGCTTGATTCCAGGACCCCAGGATCATGATCTGAGCCAAAGGCAGACACTTAACCCACCCACCCTGGTGCCCCCCCCCTTTTAAGATTTATTTATTTGAGACAGAGAGAGAGAGAGTGCATGAGGCAGGGGGAGAGGCAGAGGGAGAGGGACAGCCAACTCTCCATTGATGAAGGAGTGCAACTCAGGACTCCATCCCGGGACAAGATCATGACTTGAGCCAAAGTCAGATGCTTAACTGGCTGAGCCACCCAGGCACACCTCTCTTATGATTTTCTTAACATTTTCTTTTCTCCAGCTTACTTTGTTGTAAGAACACAGTATGTAATACATGCAACATACAAAATACGGGTTAATCAATGGTTTATGTTGTCTGTTCAAAGAAAGGAAGATCCTACCTTGAGATTCCTATGGGGCAGTTTATAGTAGATAGCTGTTTTCCCATTTAATCATCTGGATTAGTTCTTTTTCATCTTGCCATCAAACCTGCACAGCTATCCATGGCCCCACCAGGCATCCCTGGAGGGGCTTCTTTATCTTTAGACCCAAATTCAGATTCAGACCTAATAACTCCAGGCTTTCTCTTCCCAAAGTTAAAGGTAGCTCTGTGAGTGAGTATGGCGTGTGGGCTGGCCACCTTTCAGGGGATGATTCCTCCAAGAGGGGCTACCTCTCTGCCATTTGGTACCCTCTTAACCTGTTTTCCAGCACAATTGGCTGGCACATGGTGGGCCCCCAGGAAACAAAAAAACGTACCATTCTATCTTCAGCTTCCACTGCTTTCCTATTATGTAAACTCTTTTTTTTTTTTAAAGATTTTATTTATTTATTTGTCAGAGACAGAGAGAGCGAGAAAGAGCACAAGCAGGAGGAGTGGCAGGCAGAGGGAGAAGCAGGCTCCCCGCTGAGCAGGGAGCCCGATGTGGGACTCGATCCCAGGACCCTGGGATCATGACCTGAGCCGAAGGCAGCTGCTTAACCAACTGAGCCACCCAGGCGTCCCCTATTATGTAAACTCTTGACACATTAAAACACAACTATTCTGTTTTCCTCTTGGAAGATAGGTCTTGACCATCTTTGGATCTCAAACTTCTAGCACATAGTAGGTTTTCAGTTAGTGTGTAGGCAGCTGTTCATTTCATTCCCTTTGTCTGGAGTTCTTCATTCAGGCCCCACTTCAGCCCTCTCTGGACTTTGCAGAAATCTTAGCTGTTCTGAAAGGATTAGCTCAAAAAAGCCACTTTCTTTCTTGGTTGCTCCAGCCAAAAGAGTAAAAGCTGATATTTTTGGCTAAGCACTTTACACATATAACACATATGAATTCTCACCATTCAAATTAGCTATTATCATCCCCATTACAGTTTAGGAAACAGAAGTAATTTCCCCAGGGTCAAATAATAGTAAATGACAAGGTCAGGAATCAGACTGCAGGAATGACCTTAAAGACAGAGTCCACGGCCACTAAACTGGACAGATTTCTCTCTCTGCACTACACTCCTATCATATTTTGTTCATCAGGTTGGTAGGGAATCTGTCTCATCACCTGCACATCTCCATATTCTACTGGACCAAGAGCTCCCTGAGTTCCTTTGTATTTTCAGGGCCTAGACAGTGTCTAGATACTGGTTGGTGATCCATAAGTATGTGCTGATTGATTTGTGGCCCTGGTTTCCGTGTCTAACATCCACGCACACCAGGCACCCAGAACCATGCAGACTCATTCCCACAGCTTAGAATTCTTCCTGCTCTCCCACACTATCTTGTACTGGTACATGGAACTCTCCCATGCCTTCACAATTTTCATTTTCATGTTTGTGCGCTTGCCCCTGTAAACTGGTAGCATCCAAGGACAAATCTTACATGTGTTTCATCTCTTTATCCCAAACTCTTGGCTTAGCATTAAGGTGCTAATTAAATGTGAATTAATATAGGGTGCCTGGGTGGCTCAGTCGGTTAAACGTCTGCTTTCAGCTCAGGTCATGATCCCAGAGTCCTGGGATCCAGTCCTACATCAGGTTCCCTGCTCTGCAGGGAGCCTGCTTCTCCCTCTGCCTCTGCCTCTCTTTCTGTCTCTCATGAATAAATAAATAAAATCTTTTTAAAAAATGTGAATTAATATACAAACCTCAGTCACCCCTCCCTATCATCAGATCATCAAGGGACCCTTCCAGGCACTCCCCTCTTCCCCAAAGGCAAGCTTGCTCGGAGTACAGATGCCTGGGAACACAGACCCAGGCGGCACCAAGCTGGGAATCAGGGTTTAATGTTTTAGGTTCCCCTTGGGTTTGGCCTTTGTAGGTCTGTCGACCTGTCCCCTAGTCTCCCTATGGGCTCTTTCTTTGTGTCTCTCTTTGTCTCTGCCTGTTTCACTGTCTTTTGTTCCTCTGCCTCCGGGCCTGCTTCTCTCCAGATTCCCTTCCTTTTCTTACAGCTCCTCCGACTGTGCTTCAGTGACTTCGTATCTATCTCTTAGGTTTCTACATCCCTTTGTCTCTGGTGGCCAATCTCTTGCTCCTGTATTTTCGGGCCGCCGCAGTCTCTCGGTCTCTTTCTCTGCCTCTGTGTCCTTTCTGACTCGGGGCTCTTAGGTTACGACTTTGTGAGTCTCTGGCTCCGGGTCTCCGCTCCGCGCCCCAGGCCTGATTTCAACTGGCCGCCTCTCCCCATCATTTCTCTGGAGTCTGTCTCTATCCTCTAGCTGCAGCTCTGGCCTCGGTCTCCCCCAGCCCAGCCCCCCTCCCTACCCCACCCCCGGCCCTAGGCCTCTCGGACCGGCCCCGCTTTGTTTCCTGTGTCTCGGCGCCCCGCCCCCGCCCCGTCTGGGGTCTCCGCCGCCCTCCGCCGCCCTTTGTTTGCCTTGGTCTCTCCCCCACCCTTTTCCCTGGGTCAGTCTTCGGATCTCTCTTTGTCTCTCCCGGCCGGGGAGGCTGGCGCAGTCGGCCAGCCCCGGAGGTTGGCGCGGGCGGCCCGACACAGCGATAAATAGGAAGAGTCTTCGGCCCTCATCGCCCGGCTCCAGCCCAGGAGGTACACGGTTAATACCACCGAGTTCGGGCAACTGTCTTCGGCTTAGAGTAGCCCTGTCCGCGGCACGCGGCCTCCCGCCGGCCACCGAGCTCCGGAGGACGCGGGCAGCCCCCACAGGCGTGCAGCTCCTCCTGGGTCCTAGAGCGGCTCGGTGAGGCCCAGCGCTTCCGCTTCCCGTCCCCGCCCCCGGCGGCCGCCCCCGGGACGCCTGGGTCCGAGCCCCCTCCCCATTTGGCGCGGAGCCCGCATCCCGGGGCCGCCGGCGGCTCGGGCAGCGGAGCCCCGCCGAGGAGCTCGCGAGGGCGCCGGGGTGACATAGCTGGAGGCGGCCAGGAGGAGAAGGGGGCGCTGCGGGCCGGAAGGAGCAGCAGGTGCAGGGGCGGCCGGCGGCGCGGGCGGGGGTCACCGGGAGCCGCGCCCCGCACCTCGGACCCGGCCGCTGCCCGGTGCCCGCGCTGGCCGGCAGAGGGCAGCGGCAGGGCGCCGCGGGCCGCACATGGCTGTGTGACCGTGGGATTGTGTCTGTCCCCTTGCTCAGGGCGGCGTGCGGGCGATGGAGCGCGCGGTGGAGCCCTGGGGCCCGGATCTCCAGGGCGCAGAGGAGAGGGAGCAGCTGAGAGGCGCCCGCACAGGTGAGGGCCGGGACGGTGCGCCGCCAGGGGCAGGTAAAGGCCGGGTGGGGACTCCGGTGCTGGGCTCTGTCTAGCCGAGACCCAGAAAAATCGGACATGAACTGTGCTTCCAGGGGGAGGGGGAGGGGAGCAAAAACCGAGGTTAAGGAGCCAACGTTTCTGAGCACCTACTCTGCGTCAGGCCGTGAGGGGCTTCATCTCAAGGACTCTCCTGGCTCCTCGACAGTCATTACCAGCCTCACTGCCTCTGCCCTACTTCAGCCCTCCTTTTATCTCATCCTGACAATTGCAACAGCCTCCCCACATCCCTTTTCTCTTCAGTGATGCACTCAGCAGCCACATTGATCCAAGTCCGTATTTAATCCTGTTTCCCTTCTCAAAAACCTTCCCTAGCTCCTTTCTGCCTACTAATCAAAAGCCTAGTGTTTGATCTAGGCCTTACATGCTTAATCTAGTCCCAACATCCCTTTCCAGCTTTATCTTCCATTCCTCTCCGTGGTTTGCTCTTTTCTTTTGCTGTGAAAGCTTGGCCCTATCTCCTTATTTCCTCGCTCTCTTGTGACAGCGGTTATTCTGAGCCCACAATTACATGTGCTTGATCTTCTCTCTCCTACCAACCCTATGCGTTTTGAGGGACAGGTGGGCGTCTGGGTCCTCTTAGGTACAGGCAAGATGATTGAAGTAATAAATTACAGAATGGGCTACAGGCTTGGGAATCAGACAGACCTGAGTTAGAAACATGGCTTTGCTACTTTCTAACCTTTCTAACCTTGAGCAAGTGACTTAAATTTTCTGAGTCTTCATGTCTATAAAATGGGAGTAGTAATAGTATTATTTCATAGCATTGTTTGCAAGGATTCAGTGGTGCCTAGTTCAGTGACTGGCACATATTAAGGGCATGTTATAAGGAAGTTACCATTGTTAATGAGAGGCAGCATTAGGAAGTTTCAGAAGTTCAGAGGAGAGGGAGAGCATCCTTGTGACCGCAGATTGTCAAGGAAGCCTTCCTGGGGAAGTTGTTATCAAAGATAGGGGCTGAGCCAAAGGGCAGGGTCTACTACTCCCTTTTCTTTCCCCAGGTATAGGGAGTGAGAATGTGGAGATTTCTCAGCCGGATGAGTTTGAACATACCCCACAGGAGGATGACTTGGGGTTCAAGGAAGAGGAAGATTTGGCCCCAGGTCATGAAGTAGGAAATGCCTCTCTCAAACCTGAAGGCATCCAGACCTGGGATGACTTGTGGGTCCAGAGAGAGGGACCAGGAAAACCTCAGGCTCGAGACAGAGGTCCCCGGCTCCTGGGAGAGCCACGTTGGGGCCAGGCTAGTGATCGGGCTGCCGTGTGTGGTGAGTGTGGCAAGAGTTTTCGGCAGATGTCAGATCTGGTGAAACACCAGCGGACCCATACAGGGGAGAAACCGTACAAGTGTGGGGTCTGCGGCAAGGGCTTTGGGGATAGCTCTGCCCGTATAAAACACCAGCGAACTCATAGTGGTGAAAAGCCCTACAGAGCCCGACCACCAGCCCAAGGCCCCCCAAAGATTTCTCGGTCCAGGATCCCAGCTGGTGAACGTCCCACTATCTGCGGCGAATGTGGCAAGAGCTTCCGGCAGAGTTCTGACCTGGTGAAACACCAGCGGACACACACGGGTGAGAAGCCCTACAAGTGTGGCATCTGTGGCAAGGGCTTTGGTGACAGTTCTGCTCGCATAAAGCACCAGCGGACACACCGGGGGGAGCAGCCTCCCCGGCCCGTGGTGCCCAGACGGCAGCCTTCTCGAGCAGCCACGGCAGCCACACAGGGACCTAAGGCCCAGGACAAGCCATATATCTGCCCCGATTGTGGCAAAAGATTTGTGCTCAGCTGCAGCCTTCTGAGCCACCAGCGCAGTCACTTGGGGCCCAAACCTTTTGGCTGTGATGTGTGTGGAAAGGAGTTTGCCCGGGGCTCAGACCTGGTGAAGCACCTTCGGGTGCACACCGGAGAGAAGCCCTACCTGTGCCCTGAGTGTGGCAAGGGCTTTGCCGACAGCTCTGCCCGGGTCAAACACCTCCGCACCCACAGTGGGGAGAGGCCTCACGCCTGTCCAGAATGTGACCGCACCTTCAGCCTCAGCTCCACCCTTCTCCGCCACCGCCTCACTCACATGGAGCCCCAGGACTTCAGCTTCCCAGGCTACCCCTTGGCCCCCCTGATCCCCAGCCCACCCCCCAGCTCAAGCCCACCCCCACCTCCTCTTGGCACGAGCCCCCCGCTGACACCTCGAAGCCCTTCACACTCGGGTGATGGGCCTTTTGGCCTGCCTGGCTTGGAGCCAGAGCCTGGGGGCCCACAGGCTGGGGAGCCACCCCCACCATTGGCAGGCGACAAGCCCCACAAGTGCCCTGAGTGTGGCAAGGGCTTCCGCCGAAGCTCGGACCTGGTGAAACACCATCGTGTGCACACAGGGGAAAAACCCTACCTCTGCCCTGAATGCGGCAAGGGTTTTGCTGACAGCTCAGCCCGAGTCAAGCACCTCCGCACCCACCGGGGTGAACGGGCTCGGGCACCACCACCATCCACTCTCCTGAGGCCACATAACCCCCCTGGCCCAGCACCCACAGCCCCTCGACCCCGAGTCCGAGCCCAGCCCTCTGGACCCAGCCAGCCCCATGTGTGTGGCTTCTGTGGGAAGGAATTCCCCCGGAGCTCAGATCTGGTCAAACACAGGCGAACACACACTGGGGAGAAGCCATATAAGTGTGCAGAGTGTGGCAAAGGTTTTGGTGACAGTTCTGCCCGCATCAAGCACCAGCGTGGGCACTTGGTCCTGAGGCCCTTTGGGACAGGGGATGGTCGGGCAAGGCCCCTCAAAGAGGAGCCACCAACAGGACTGGAATGATGGGGTCCAGGGAAGATGCAAGCCCAGGAGACCAAAGGGAGGGTATCTGCTGCTTAAGCAGAGAACAAAGGGCCGGGGAGGTGGTGGGAGGGAGAAGGAGGGGAAGAAATGGGAGAAAGGAGTGAATAGATAGAAATAGAGATTGGAGACAATGACCTTGAAGCTCAGGAAACTGTCCTGGCTGGGCTCAGTCAGGACCTTGACAGTATGGTCTATACCCCCAGCTTCTAGAACACTGCCTTGTATTCTGAATAGTGTAGGCGCTCAGTACTTATTAATGAATAAACTGGCCTTAGCCTGAGGGCCCTTAAAAAACTCTAAATTCTGCTGCCTCTTAATCTAAGAATTGATCCCACCCAACCTCGCCCCTAGGAGACCAGCACCCTGGCCAGCACCAAACAGGGTTTGTTTGACCTCATGAGCCACAACAGTGAGACTTCAGGAGTTTTGGGTGGTAGAGAGGCAGGGGCATTTTGAACCTTCTGATGGGAAGAGTATTGCTGTGTGGATTGCAGTATCCAGGCTCAGGCCACTGGACGTGGTCTTAGCCAGGAGGGGCGCTGTTGGACAGCCAGACCTATCTGCCCTGGAGAACCCCAACCCGCCCCGACACCTGGACACTGGCAGAATAGACCAGAGACAGCAGAAGGAACAAACACTCGATGCCAAGCCCAGGTCCTGGTGGACGTCAGCAGACAAACTGGCTGGGAGAAGGGCAGGACTGCAGTGAGGAGAGGCCAGGGAAGCTCCAAGGCAGGACAGCCACATCTCCGTGTATCTCCTCGCCAATAAACTTTCTTGTCTGAAGCTCGGACTCTGCTTGTGTATGGGGGCGGGGGCGGGGGGGAGGTGTCAAATCCTCACCACAGGTGAAGCCATGCGCAAACTTGTGAGGGTCCCTTGCCCTCTTCGAGCCCGTCAGATAAAGAAGTTGGAATAGTGAGCCCCTTTCCAGCTGTGACATCTGGTTGGAAAAACGGCCACCAGGTCTGTCAGCTGATGTCCTAGACCTGAGTTCTGGCTGTCCACAGGCGCCACCTACGCCACAACGTCGAGCGCGACCCCTAAAAGGAAAAAACACGCGGCGCCACGGGGGTGGGGGTGGGGCGTAGGTCGGTGAGCGCCGTTGCTATGGCGACAAGTGGGGGAGAAAGGTGGCCGGCTGTCTAGTAAGGCGCGGAGGTCCCGACACTGAGGCTCTGCCTACTGGGAAACCCCGCCTCCCTGAGACCCTTTTTTATTTGTTGAGAAACAGGTCATTTGACTGCATAGTCCAAAGGGAGGGCAAAGGGGATGCCTCTTTATCCCCTGGAAAAAGCAACCATATTTTCCCAGCGACCCATGCGTCATTAGGAGCAAGACTCCAATTCCTAGCTTTTTCCGAGGAGGGCGCCAGTAGGGAGGAAGGGAAGGAGGAACTGCCCTGATTGGCCAGGGACAAAAAAGACGAGGGCAGTTCACCCATCTAAGAAATGAAGTACAAGACCGCTTTGCAACTTCGCCGGTTGGGCGTCTCTGCTAGTCTCGGTGGGGGAATGGTCCCTGGATAGAGGCTCTCGCGAGATCTTAACCATTGGCCGGGCTTCCCTAGAAACCAATGAAAGCTGGCCTCGGCGCCCTTCCCTCCGATCTTCCCACCTCTGACAAGTTGTACTACACATTCGAAATGTTGCGTTCAGGCCCGGGGTTCTTGGAGGCTTCGGTCCTTAGGAGCACACACGCCCATAGGCCTGAATGGAGGCCTTTGGGGGCTTTTGGAAGATCGCCCCTGCTGGTTTCCGTGTTTCCCCTCCTTACCAGTCGGCCTCCAAGCCGGCCTGCAGTGACCTTTGTAAAATTACATCTGTTTGTGTCACTACCTATTAAAAACCCTGCCGTAGCTCCATATGTCTCCTCTGGAAAACGTAGCTCCTTGGCATTCAGGTTGGCATCCAAGGTCTTCCATTTGTGTGGTTTCAGCCTTGTGCTTCTTAAATACTGCTTCGTTTACTTGGAAAGTTCGTTCCTCCCCTCCCCCCCCCCCACTTGTTACCTCTCCGAGTCAGAACACTTAAAGCATTACTTTCTCCCAGATGCTTTCCCTGAACCTCCAGCCTGAGTTAAAATCTACTTCTTCTGAACACTTGAAACATGGAGAACTTCTTGAGGATGATTAGTCACTCAACAGCATTACGAATTGTGTGCTGGGTATGGGGGATAGGAGGGTGAATAAAACAAAGTCTCTGCCCTCAGTTTCTATGCAAAGACAGACGCTGGCAAATAATTACAAGTGTAGGAAGGACTATGCAGGAAGCATACCTACAGAAGGGAATCCTACCTGATTCAAAGGCCTCTCCAAAGAAATGGCAACTATGTTTAGACCTAAGGACTGAGTAAGCTAAGAAAGGAGGAGTGAGGGATGGTGTAGGAGCTGGAGTCTTCTAGGCAGAGAGAAGAGAATGCTCCCAAGTCCTTGGGCATCAAGAACTGAAGTAAAGTTCTAGTGAGTCTGAAGGCAAACAGTGAAATGCAGAGTAATGAGTTGTATGATAAAGACTTTTCCAGATTCAGTTTTCTACCTCCCAGTCCCAGCGGGAGCCTGGCACACAATAGGCCTCACTAAATACTTTGGTGAGCAGTGTGTCCTTGGAACATGATGTGCTCTTCACAAGAGTTTACAGTCCCACAAGCTGCTACCTCCTTGTCAATATGGCAAGCTCCCACTCATCTTTGAAGGTCCTTCACATTTATCTCCTCAGAGAGGCCTGCACCCGATAACCACTCCCTTCCCAGGGGGTTATTGTTATTCACTCATCTTAACTATCCTGCCAGAACACTTATACACCTACTGCTTTCCCATTCATACATATATATTTATGTTTATTTGTATATATTTATATACATATTTATTTTTTTTATCACAATCTTTTTTGCTAGACTATGAGATTCTCAAGAACAGAAACTAGATCTGAGTTCAGGTATATACTTGTACATGTTTGTAGAGCAAATGGACAGAAGTCCTTTTCCTCCTTTTGCAAACATCTATTCCAAAGCCCTCCCACAGCAGGAGACCCTCTCCATGGTAACTTTTCACTGTTCCCAGCTGAGTCTCCTCACTGATTGAATCAAGGCAAGCAGGTCTTACCTTTTGCTAGAAGTGGGGTTCCAGCCATAACCTGGCCCCTCCCCACCTCTCCTCCATCTCTCATGTTACATTTCCCCTTGCTAACTCACTTGGCCCCAGCCACACAAACCTTCTTTCTATTCCTTAAATATGTCAAGCTTATTCTCACCTTAGGCCTTTGCAGTTCTGTCTAGAACACTTTTCCTCCAGATTTTCAAATGGCTAATCCTTTCTTATCATTCAAGATTCATCTCAAGTATTTCCTGAGATGCCTTTCCTATCCACATGATAGAAGCCTCCAAGGGGCACCCGAGTGGCTCAGTTGTTTAAGCATCCAACTCTTGATTTCGGCTCAGATCATGATCTCAGGGTCATGTATAAGGAAGGATCTGGGCTCCATGCTCAGCAGGGAGTCCGCTTGAGATTCTCTCTCTCCCTTTCCCTCAGCCCCTCCTTCCCCTCTCTTGCTCCCTCTCATAAAATGAATGAATGAATGAATGAATGAATAAATAAGAAAGCCCCGAACATACCCACTCTATTGCATCATCTTGCCCTATTAATTTCATTAACTACATTTATCTTGTTGATTTACGTGTTTACATTTTTTACACTCTTAAAAGTGCCGTAGCAGTCAAGATCTTTGTCTGTTTTGTTCACTACTGCATCTCCAATACCTAGAATGGTGCCTGGCACATAGTAGGGTACACACAACCAAAGTGGAAATTGAGTGTGAGTATTCAGGCATTTGCCCCCTTTTCCTTGCTCTGAGGAAGAGCAAAAGTTTAACCAGATGTAATCCCAACGTCCAAATTATGCCCTGGCCTCTGAAAACTGAGACTCGGGTTTGAGTACTGGCTCTGCCGCCAATTTCCTCATGTAATTTCATTTCTGAAAGATAATTCGGTGCAATAGAAAGAGCATGAGCTTTGGAACCTGTTACTTACCAGCTTTGTGACTTTGAGCAAATTACTTAGGTTCTCTAAGCTTTGGTTCATTTGTCAAAGGGAGACAATATCATTGATCCCCACAGGGCTGTTATAAAGAGACATAGGGGTCACAAGCACTTGCTGAATGTTATTTCTATTTCTTTTCTGAATCTTGGGTGCCCCATTCATAAAATAGGAGAATTGGGTATCTTTTTCTTTCTAAGATATATTTTTTTAAGATTTTATTTATTTATTTGACAGAGAGAGACACAGAGAGAGAGAGGGAACACAAGCAGGGGGAGTGGGAGAGGGAGAAGCAGGCTTCCCGCTGAGCAGGGAACCCGATGGGGGCTCAATCCCAGGACCCTAAGATCATGACCCGAGCGGAAGGCAGACGCTTAATGACTGAGCCACCCAGGCGCCCTTGGGTATCTTTTTCAAGAGAAGTGGGAAATACAGATCCTTATTCAAAATATCCCAATTTTTAAATGTGGGAAATTAAAATGTGTAAAAGACCTCTATTTTTTAAAACGAATTTTTTAAAAGTAAAAATACCGGGGGCACCTGGGTGGCTCAGTCGTTAAGCGTCTGCCTTCGGCTCAGGTCATGATCCCAGAGTCCTGGAATCGAGCCCCTGCATCGGGCTCCCTGCTCAATGGGAAGCCTGCTTCTCCCTCTCCCACTCCGCCTGCTTGTGTTCCCTCTCTCGCTGTGTCTCTCTCTGTCAAAGAAATAAATAAAATCTTAAAAAAAAAAAAAAGTAAAAATACCCTGAGGGCCAAACAAGATACTTCTGCGGACTGGATTTGAGCTACTGGATTTGGGCTACTAATTTTCCGCTTAGGCTATTGGTTGTCAGGGATGCTATGACAACCCTTACTGTATAACATAGGCAAATCAGTTTTATCTCCCTCAAGTTCAATTAGCTCATCCGTAAAATGGACCCATCCTTGTGCGGATCAAAGATCAGGTGTGTAAAATGCTTAGCATAATGCTGGAGCATTGTAGGCACACCACACAGGAAGTGGCAGCGGTAGCTTGGGTGGCTGTTGATTTGGGAAGTACGTATTCAAAAGGGGCAAGACATCCCAGAGACTGGGAAGGCGACGCCTGGAAAGGAGAAAAAATGGGAGAGGAAAAAAAGAGGGAAGGGAAGAGGTGAGCAGGCAACAGGGTCCGCCCTCCAGGCGGGGCGCCAGCGAGAGGCCCAGGCCGGGGCGGGAGCGCACGTGGCCTATTTTGGGCGGAGCGGACGCGCCTGGTCGCAGCGGAGACCTCCGAGGCGGCCACAGGAGACGAGCCTTGAAGGTAGGTTACAGCTGGTCTGCGAGGACCTTGGATGCCGGGATGGGGCGGCCCGGGGGGTCCCTGGGAGTTGGGGTACAGCCGAAGGCGCCAGATCCGGGCTCGCCACCCTCCCGGGCAGTTCTGGCCGGACGCCTGGGTCCTCTGGGCCCCTCCCCCTCTGGGGCGGGGTTAGGCGATCTGACCAATGAGCGGCCGTTCGCGAGGCCCCGCCCCGCCCCGCCCCCGGAGCCGCGGCCTCGCAGAGTGCCCAAGCGCCCGGCGCCCTGGCCAGGGGCTGTGCGAGCGCCGAAGCTGCGGCTGGTGAGTGCGCAGCCCCCGAGGGTCTCCGCCTCGATCCCGCCCCCAGCCCGTGCCCTAGAGCTCTGGACCGCTGGCCCGGGCGCTGGGGAGTGACTCAGCGCGAGGAGGGTGGCGACTTGCTGGGGCTGGAGATTCGAACTGTTCAGGGCCTTGAATGCCGGGATGAATGCGGAGAACGGGTGTCTTCGGAGCTGGTCCTGGGACCTGGGGCCGGGCTGGGGTGGAGGGAAGAGGGCAGTGCAGGGCGGGAGAAGCCAAGGCTCCTCCGCCTTGCTGGAGTCAGGGCCATGGGGCGGGGAGGAGGGGGGTGGAGGGGGGTGCGAGTCCGGAGCTTTTGACCCAGCGCCTCGCCCTAGGACCAAGATGCCTGGTGAACAGCAGACAGAGGAGGAGGAAGAGGAAGAGATGCAAGAGGAGATGGTGCTGCTGGTGAAGGGTGAGGAAGATGAGGGTGAGGAGAAGTATGAGGTGGTGAAACTCAAGATCCCCATGGACAACAAGGAGGTACGTGTCCCACACCAGGGGGCTTGGTTACCCTTAAATCTGGTCAGGTCCAGCCTTCCTCAGACAAACCAGCGATCCGGCCCCTACTTTCCTCTGAGTCTTAGACGTAGAATCTCAGGGTTGGTGGCCCATCCTTCTGCCCTACTGCCATCGTACAGATGTTAACCTACTGCGCCAGCTGTCTTTGGTTCCCCATGGAGCTTGATGTCTAGCGGGATTGGACTGACAAGTAACCACGCTGCTACAGTCCCGTGTGATGGGTGCAGGCACAGGAGGCATGGAAGCCCAGAGCTGGGAACTGCACTCTTCGGGGTGGGGGGAGGGGTGGTTAGGTAGGCAACAGCGACAGCTGACTCTGAGTAGCATTTGCTATGCACCAGACACTGTTCTAAGTCCTGCAAATCTGGAACGGAGGTAGTATTTCTTCCATTTTACAGGTGAGGAAACAGGCCCAGGAAACTGGACAGTTTGGTGACTGACCCAAGGCCTTAAAGTTAGTAAAGGGATGACTTAGCTGAGACCAGTGGGGATCTGAGATTTAGAAGGAACGGCCCGATTCATTGCTTAGGGAGGTGGGTGGGGCACTGGGAGAAGTGAAGGCAGGTGGTTCAGCCATGCTATAGCGTGAATGAGAGTAAGGTGGTTGGCAGGCTGGGTGGGACCTCTCCTCTGGGTTTTATCCTGAGGGTTTTGAAGGTTTAAAGAGAGGACTTTTAAGGAGATCTGAATAGGAGTTAGATTTCCCAGTGGGAGATCCTAAGTGCCACCAGGTATGTTTCCACTTCCCAGAACCTTTTAGGACTCTCACCCCCAGCCAGAGGAGCCCTGAGTCCTATCTGGAGGACTTCTGTTGGGCGGGGTTTCTGGGCCCAGGCTCCCTCTGATTTCTTCCTGCAAGGGGCCAGTTCTCTGGGAAAGACAGTTCTGCTGCCCCCTAGTGGGTGTGTTGGGCTCTAGGGGGAGGGGGCTGGCTGCTTTGGCAACCGGTTCTAGCCAAAATAACTGTTTAGTTCCGTTTTCCTCAGGCCTCCTTGGTCTGTCATCCTAGCACAGCCTGCCTCTTCTGGCTCTGTGGATCCCCTGATCTCCACCTTTGGCCTGTAAGACTCCAGGGGCGCGTGGCTGGCTCAGTCGGTAGAGCATGCGACTCTTGATCTTGTGGTTGTGGGTTTGAGCCCCAAAGTACTTAAAAAAAAAAAATCTTAAAAAACAAAAGAACCCAGACTCCAGAGCTTAGGTGGACTTCCAACTCTATCACCTTCCAGCTGTGTGACCTTGGGTAAGTTTCTTAACCTCTTTGTGGCTCAGTTTCCTCTTTGTAAAAGGGAAATCATAACAGCATCTACTTCTTAAGGTTGTGAGGACTAAATGAGTTAGTACTGAAAAGAGTTAGAACTGTGTCTGGTGCATAATAAACACTATGTAAATATTTGCTGCTGATAGTCATTCTTCTCCCTACGGTTCAGGACCTTGCACTAGGACATCCTTCTGGAGATTTTTCAACTCCTTTTTATCGAAGAACTTTCTGGCCTGAACCCCGGGGCTGGGAGTGAACAGGGAAACCAACCTGGAGGCCTAGACAGAGGACTGAGGGCAGACAACTCAAGGCAATGGGGAAAGCTTCATGGAGGTGACTTTTGACTTGGTGCTTGAAGACACAGTGGTGATCTGGCAAATGGAGGAGAAAGGGCATCCCAGGAGGAGGAATAGCAAACGCAGAGGCTCAGAGGAGATGAGGCCAGAGAAGTCGGGGTAGCCAGAGAGTAAAATGGCATTGGAAGCCAGCATAGGAATTTAGAGCCTCAAATTGGAGGAGGGACATGACTAGATTTTCTATTTAGAAGAATCACTGGCTGCTATGGGGAGACCAGGCCAGGGAAGGCTGATAGCCTGCTCTAAGGTTGTGACAGCAGTGGAGAAAAGATGGAGAGAAGGGGATATTTGGGAACCCCGATTGGACTGGCTGGAGGTAAGGATGAGGAGGTGGAGAGCGGGCATGTCTAGTCATCAAGGGTATGTAGGGCTAGACTCTAAATGGTATCATGTAGCAGTGAAAAGCATTGGTTCAAATCCTAATTCTACCATTTACCAGCTTGGCCTCGGCTTTTTCATCGGTAGAGAGGGGTAATGAAAGTTAAGGTCCTCGAATGCCAGCCTGAGAAGTATCATCTGGGTTACTGGGTCTGGGGGAGGAGGTTGGAATTGAGGATTGCACACAGACACCCTATGAACATTTAGCACTGTGCCCACAGCATAGCTCATTAATTTGCTGTGTGGTCTCCCTGAGACTCAGTTTCTAAAAATGGTGATCTTGAAAGCTCTTTCCAGTGCTGACATTCTGTGACTCCTTGCTATCACCCAGTCCCGTGGCCAGTCGTTGCCCAGAATAGGCCTGAATTACGCGCATATGGGCTGGAGTATCCTCTCACTGCCTGTCAAAATCTAGTCTATCTTTAATGAGTAGAAAAGATTTTCTCAGAGGGCTCTATACATATCCAATTCTGTCTCTCTTTGCTTAAACCCTTGAGTGGTTTCCTGTTTCCTTCAGGATAAAGTCTCAGCTCCTAAGCCTAGCATTCAAAGCTACTCACCATCTGACCTCACATCTTGGCTTATCTCTAATCACTCAGTACCCATCCCATGCCCTGACTTCAAACACACCCAACCCTTTCTCATCTCTAAGACTTTGCCCGTGTGGTCTTTCAGCCTGTAAAGCCCTCTTCACCTTTTCCACCTGCTTTCTCCAGGAGTAGCTCGTGTCTCTTCTAGATCAGGTTTCTTCACTTTAACATGCATACAAATCACCTGGTGATCTTGTTAAAAGAAGATTTTGATTCTGCAGGTCTGGGGTCAGCCTTGAGATTCTGCATTTCTAGCAAGTTCCTAGTGATGCTGTTGTTGCTGATCTGTGGATCACAATTCCTGTAGCTAGGAGCAAGAGAATAGGGTTGTTATTTTATACTTTGTACCAAAAAGGGGAGATTCTGACTGCTAAAAGAGCCTAGGGGAGGGAGACAAGCTGTGTAGGTGATCTCCCAACTTGTCAATGACAGAGAATTGCATCATGGCTAAGAGAATGCGTATTTTGGACAAGGACAGACTCTCAGTTCCAACCCCGGCTCTGCCATTGATGAGCTGTAGGGCCTTGGGTAATCACTTTACTGCTGAGTCTTATTTCCTTGTTCAAAAATGGAGCAGATAGTACCTAAAAGAAAGGGTTGTGAGAGTTTAAAACGAGAACATGGGTGAAAAGCACTTAGCACAGTTCCCGGCACATAGTGAATCCTCAATGAATGGTAGCTGTTGTTCTTTTTTTTTTTTGGTAGCTGTTGTTCTTAATTTAGGAAAGTAATGGCTAGGGGGAACAGACATGTTTGCCCTGATTTAAAACAAAAACAAAAACCTAAGCAGGAAGACAAAATCACAAACTTCAAATACTTGGATTTTCCTATTATGATATCACATTGATTGTATACTCATAGTACCTCTTGTTATAGTACAAATACCGTTCTAATATTTAAGTCTACTAGCTGTAGATTTAAGACGTAGAAGGGCCTTTAATGATCTCCTAGCCTGGTATTTGCCAAGCTTCAGTGACATGTATATTGCCCATCTGTTGTGCTCATTTATTTACTGCTTTTCTTCAGATAGATTCACACCATTTTGCTAAATAAACCTGCCTTCATCTACACAATATTGATGGAATTGTGGGTTTCATGTGATCTACTGTTTTTCTAATGTCCGTAAAAATAAATACATAATGATTATAATAAGATAGTTTTCCTACATAACACCTACAGTCCTCTTGCATCTTGTGGTGTGCATGCTTCACGTTGGGAAATTTTGATCTCACCTAGCCTACCTTGCCTTCCTTGGGACACTGAGGCAGGAGAAGGGAGTGACTTGCCTGGGGTCTTAATGAACTGGACCCTGGCTCAGTTGGTAGAACATGCGACTCTTGATCTCATGTATTTGAGGGTCACGTGTTTGAGCCTCACGTTGAGATTACTAAAAAAAAAAAAATATATATATATATATATATATATATTCTTCCTGGGGCATCCAAGGCCCCTTGTCCTGAAGCTGGAGATACTAAGGCTACTCATGTGAAGGATTCCTTTCTCATAAGTCAGTGAACCCAGCACGAGGAAGCCCTCAGGCTTATCCAAGTCATCTTACAGAAGGGTGCCAAAGAAAAATGGGCCAGAAAAATGTAAACATAATGAGAAAAATTCTCTCCACAATGGCTGATGTGTTGAAATAAAGCCAATAGATGTCAAAACCAGGGCGAGATTGCAAAGTATTATGTTGAATTCAGACTGTGCCAAACCTGCTGTGGGGAGTTTCTTGATTTAAAGTATCAAGTTGTATTTTAACCTTGAATCCCCCTTGGAGAGCACCAGGGACTTGGAGTCCAGCCTCTGTCACATCTTGGCTATTCTAGTGTGGGGAAGTAAGTGTAGCCTACTGGGAAAGGGTGAGTGCTCAGTCCCGACTCCTCCTGGCTTTGTGAATGTAATCTCAACGAGCCTCTGTTTTCCCAACTATCAAAAGATAACACCCTGATTCAAGGGGGTGACACGAAGCTTTAATACGATAATGTACATAAAATAGCATTGTCAAAGCCTTACACTGTAATGTTATCACTGTTATCGCTATAAATACTGTTTAAACCAGAGTTCCCATGGCTGGTCACTAATTTCCCAAACTGCCTTGTTTTCCAGTTTGAGTTGGTTACCAAAAAGCTGCCTTTTTATAAAAGATCTTGAAGGACTTGAAGTTGCCCTCCTTGCAACTTCAGAAATAAAAGAGCCTTACTATTCCTTGTCACTCCCCTCTCTTAACAGTTTCCTTATCTATAAAATGAGAATAGTAATAACTACTTTGTGGAGATTGAATGTGGGGAGAAGCTAACACTTTCTTGTCCTTAATATGTGCCAGTTATTTCATTTGGTCTTGAATTAATGTGCCTGTCTGGTTCACGGTAGGTGTTCAATATATCACTTTTGCTAGGATGAGCATTCTCTTTTCTAAGAAGAGAGCAACGTGCCCCCAGTATTCCTCTTCACTCTGCTGTTAGTACAAAATGTTTTCTCTTCTCCTGCCTCTTACAAAGCATTTTTCTTTTCTGGATTTTATCTCTAGAGGCTCAAACCAGCTCATTTTCAAAATTTTCCATTTCAGGCCTTGCTTTCTTCACAACTTAAAAAATGATAGGTGCTTGCTCTGAAAAGTTTATTAAAGACTCTGGACTCGGTCCCGGCCTGGCTTCTAAGACACCATGCCCTCCTGGATCTCCTCCCTCATTAACTGCTCCTGCTCAGTCTTCTTTGCTGGCTGCCCATCTGGTTGCCTCAGGTTCTCTCTGCCCATTCCTGGGGTGATCTCATCCGGACTCAGCTTTAAAAAACATTGATAGGCTGACAGCTTCCCAATTAACATCTCCAAGCATAGGCCTCTTTCAGCTCCAGATGTGTCCAGGAGAACTGCAAATATGCTCCAAAACAAATTTCACCTACCACCTTGCTTCTCCTACTGCCCTCATCTCTGCAGACGGCCACTCCACCTTTGCAGTGGCCAAACTCAAAATCCTTGGAGTCATTTTGACTCCTTTCATTACACTATGTATCCAATCTATTATCCAGTCTGTTGTCTCAAACTGCAAAATATATCCAGAAGCAGACCACCTTCACTTTCCACCTGTCACCTGGGTCTGAGCCACTTCTCTTCGCCCTCTCCCCTCCTTTCTGTTCTCAACTCCAGCAACCCGAGGGTGACTTTTAAAACGAGTCTGATCTGTTCAGATCCCTGCTCCAAACCCATCTGACATCTCTATTGGCTCCCCATCTCGTTCATATTACTTGGCCCTAAGCTAGGAGATCCCCTCCAAGACCACCCCATCCATCACTCTGTCCCTCAAGCATTCTGCCTTAGGCACTTTTTCATGCCATTCCTGGAACTCAACAGGCAAACTCCCCGCAGGGCCTTGCTGGTCCGTCTGTAGCCTGCTCTGTCACCTCCTTTAAGTCTTTGCTCACGTTCTATCAGTAAGGTTTCTTAGCAATCCTATTTAAATGTGCAGCACGCCACTCCCTGCCCCAATACCAGCACTCTATCCATTTTTCCTGAAGCAGTTTTTTTTTTTTTTTAATTTAATGTTGAATCCCCAGTGCCTAAGCAGAGTCCGGCACATTGTACGCGCTCAATAAATATGTCGAATTAACGAACTGCTAGAATGACACTAGGCCTTGTGATACATGCGTTAACATACTATCTCATTTAAAGCGCACAACCGCCCCGAGGCTGGCACCGCCGCTTTTTCTATTTCACAACGGGTAACTGAGAGGCTGCAGCTTGCGGACACCCCGGCTTCCGGCTCCCGCGCCCGGCTGTCAGGGCTGACGTGTCCCCCCTCCCCCTCTCCCCGCAGGTCCCGAGCGAGGCGCCAGCGCCGTCGGCCGACCCGGCGCGCCCACACGCGTGCCCGGACTGCGGCCGCGCCTTCGCGCGCCGCTCCACGCTGGCCAAGCACGCACGCACGCACACGGGCGAGCGGCCCTTCGCGTGCACCGAGTGCGGCCGGCGCTTCTCGCAGAAGTCGGCGCTGACCAAACACGGCCGCACGCACACGGGCGAGAGGCCCTACGAGTGCCCCGAGTGCGACAAGCGCTTCTCGGCCGCCTCGAACCTGCGGCAGCACCGGCGGCGCCACACGGGCGAGAAGCCGTACGCATGCGCGCACTGCGGCCGCCGCTTCGCGCAGAGCTCCAACTACGCCCAGCACCTGCGCGTGCACACGGGCGAGAAGCCGTACGCGTGCCCGGACTGCGGACGCGCCTTCGGCGGCAGCTCGTGCCTGGCGCGTCACCGACGCACGCACACGGGCGAGAGGCCGTACGCATGCGCCGACTGCGGAACGCGCTTCGCGCAGAGCTCGGCGCTGGCCAAGCACCGGCGCGTACACACGGGCGAGAAGCCGCACCGCTGCGCCGTGTGCGGCCGCCGCTTCGGCCACCGCTCCAACCTGGCGGAGCATGCGCGCACGCACACGGGCGAGCGGCCCTACCCGTGCGCGGAGTGCGGCCGGCGCTTCCGTCTCAGTTCGCACTTCATCCGCCACCGTCGCGCGCACATGAGGCGCCGGCTCTATATCTGCGCCGGCTGCGGCCGGGACTTCAAGCTACCGCCTGGCGCCACGGCCGCCACTGCCACCGAGCGCTGCCCAGAGTGCGAGGGCAGCTGAGCCACCGTTCTTGTCGCCGCGGGGTTGCGAGCGTCCGGCTTGTGGGAGGAGTGGGGGCGGACACGCTGGGACCCTAGACCTGGGGCCGCATTAACCAGGACCTCCCTGGCTCACCACCAGGGGCTGGGAAAGGGTGGGATGGCAGGCCTGGCTGCCTTGGAACTGGGAGGCAGGGAGAATCCCCTTACTGGGAACCCTGGAAACAGTGCCCACTCCCCGCTCACTACAACCCCTTGACCCGTGTTAGTGAATAAAGTATTATATCCTCGCCCCACCTGTGCCTGTGAGTGAGGCGGGGGGAAGGAGGAAAGTTGGTGTCTTATCCAGGCTTAAGTGACTTGAATGAGTTATGGAGCCAAGTGGGGCAATAGGCCCAAAGGGGTTCCCTGAACTGGCTTTTTATGTGTGTGGGGAGTCCTCATAACTTAAGGTCTGGAAGGGTCCACAAATAGAGCATATTCTGGTCAAGCAGCCGCTGCATTGTTCGGCGAGCAGGCATGAATTTCCTTCTAGGAGAGATGGGCTGACTTCATTTCTTAACTTGGATGCCAGCGTTCGGTGTCAGGAGGGCACAGGATGAGGAGCAGGACAGGAACTGAAGTGGTGGCAATTGTTACACCCCAGTCTGGACACGTTGAGTGTGAGGTAAACGCAGAGGAGTCAGGTGACTGGAAATAACAGCTTGGGGATAGCAGGTCTGGAGTGCATGATGCCTCTTCTAGAAGAGGGTACCCAAGGAAAGTCTGTGAAAGGACAGCCAGAGCTGGAAAGAAAACAGCGTCCTGTCTGGGAAATCTAAAGGAAAGTGTTTCATGGAGGGAGTGGTCACTCTGTTAGATGCTGTATCTGTAGCTCAGGGAAAGTGGTGACAGGAGGAGTGGGGGTGAAAGCCATCCTTGAGTGGGCGAGAGTATAAATAGAATGAGGAAGCCGAGTGGATGGGTGTAGACAACCCATTTTAAGAGGCTTGGCTGTGAAAAGCAAGAGGGAAATGGCTGGAGGTTTGTTGGGTTTGTTTGGTCAGTAGGGAAGAAACCTGATGATGCTTTATATATGCTGGTGGCAGAGCTGACCGAAAGGAAGAGAAGTTGGTTATATAGAAGAGAAGGGAGGTAACTCATCATGGAGAGGACATACGATAAGAGACCAGTAAGGATAAGGTTCCTGCTGTCAGTAGTAGGGAGAGGAAAGGTGGGTCTGGGAATACAAAGCTGAAGCAGTTTTAATCCGCATTTTGTTTTACCTGGCAAGTAAGAGGTCACTGGTTAAAAGGGAGTGAGGTCATTAGTAAAAGGAATGAGACCAGTAAAAAGGAATGCCTCTTTAGGCTCAGAGGGGCAGCAAAAGTAGTTTGGAGGGTTTTTTCCGGCATTACTGCACACTGAGGGAGGTAGGCCATGGTTATCCCCTAAAGGGAAGTGATGTGCCTGAGGTCACACAAGGGGTAAATCATACGCACCCAACACTAGAGGTGCAAGTGGAAATTGGCCTTGGGAGGATAGGGGAGGAGGTAAGAGGCCCTCTCCAAGATGAGAGGAGTCTCTCTGTTCTCCCTATCAGACACTTGACCCTAATTTGTGAGGAGGGCCCAGGGAGAGGAGCATTAGGCTCTCACAGGGTTGGGGTCCTGATCGATAAAGGTGGGTTTTAGGCCCAGGACCCTCTTAACTGTTGACATTCCCTGCTCTGGGGCCCTGAAAGTTTTGAGTTGAAAAAGCAAACAGATAACTGCAAACTTAGAAAGTCCCTCCTATATGCCAGGCACTGTCCTAAGCACTCTCCTTAAAAACGACTTAAACCTTACAACCCTATAAGGTAGATACCATTATTTTAATTTTAGATGAGGAAACCAAGGTGCAGAAAGACTAAGTAATTTAATGAACGTCATCCAGCTCGTAATTATCAAAGATGGCATTTGAACCCAGATAGCCTGGCTCCAGAATCTGGGCCCTTAACCAACACTACAATATAGCCTCCAGTCCCCTTTAGAGGCCCAGAAGGGCTAAGGGAATTGCATGACATCAAACAGGGATCTTGCTAGAAACCCACTCTCTCTGCCCTGTAGGTGGGAGGTATACTAGAGAAACATGGCAGCTGGGCTCAGAGGCATCCCTGGTGCCCTGCTCCAGTACCTGCTAAGATAGAGCCTCCCCAGTCACTCCAGGAAGAATCTAGAAGTTGCTAGCCAGAACTTTTATTGAGAGTGAAAAATACCAGGAGGCTGTCTTCTGGAGGTTCTTGGGCCGCAGACCTTATGAAGTAGGGCCCCCAGGCCCCTGATCTGTTAGGAAAAGACTAGAACAAAGTTCCATGGCCAGGCCACTCTCTGCTTCTCAGATGCCATGCTGAGTTGCAAGTCCTGTGCCCATGTTTCTAGGTTGAGGCCTGGCCTGTGGACTCACAGTCAAGGTCTGCAGGCCCCACAGCTTGGTCTTCAGAGGTGGCCCCATGGGGCAAATCTGTATACTTGAGGGCAGAGCCACGGGACAGATGTGCTGGGTAGCGCCGGCGGTTGAGGTCCATCTTGGAGAGCACCGCTTGGGGCAGATCCACATGGCAGCGGGCTGCTAACGCTACCAGGTAGATGAGGACGTCACTAAGCTCCTCTTGAAGGGCTGCCCGTTCCCTGGGGGACCAGGCTTGGGGGCCAGGCTCCTCATCAGGCTTCCACTGACTGGGGGCAGAACACACAGGCACAAACACAGATGCTAGCTAATACGATGGGCTCCGCCTCTCTTAGGAGCCCCCCAGTCCTTGCAACAACGCACTTCCAGCTCTTAGGAAGTTCCTTCAAGGACAACTCAACCCACCTGGGCCCCAGGCAGAGTCAGGGTGGGGAAGAGACCCCAGCAGATGATTCATCCAGACCTCTGTGTCCCAACCTGAGCCAAGGACTGGCCAAGAGAACATTTCACTCGTTAAGACCCAATTCCACCTCTCACCAGCCCCAGCCACTGCGACTCCAGACTAATCCCCAGACCTGGACCACTGGGAAAGCTTGCTAACTCACCTTCTACTCTTGCCCAGTACCATCTTTTAAACCCACAAATTACATCTTGTCCCTCCGCTGCTAAAGTTCCCCAACTGTACTTGGAATAAAATCCAAACTCCTGGATTTTGGGCGCCTGGGTGGCTCAGTCGTTAAGCATCTGCCTTCGGCTCGGGTCATGATCCTAGGGTCCTGGGATCGAGCCCCGCATCGGGCTCCCTGCTCTGCGGGAAGCCTGCTTCTCCCTCTCCCACTCCCCCTGCTCGTGTTCCCTCTCTCGCTGTGTCTCTCTCTGTCAAATAAATAAAATCTTTTAAAAAAATAAAATAAAATTAGTTCATTGTTATTCTCCTTGTACTGTGAAGGCAAGAACCGTGGTTTTTTTTCCCCCAAAGATTATTTTTAAGTCATCTCTACACCCAATGAGGGGCTTGAACTCACAACCCTGGGATCAAGAGTTGCATGCTCCACTGACCGGGCCAGCCAGGAGCCTCAGGAACCTAACTTGTTCATTCTAGGAGCCCTAGCACATAGCTGATGCTCATATATCTGGAATGAATGAATGGCTTGCCCTCACACTTATCTCTGTGCTCTCATTTCTCCATCCCCAAAGTGACTGCCCTGGTTTAGGCCTGCCTTACCACCTCTTGCCTGATCTGTATCAGCCTCCTCATAGGTCTCCCCTGCCCCAATTCTCTTGGTAACCCAATCCACCCTGCAGAAAGGGATCTTTCTACCACTCTAATCTGGTCAGGTCTTCTGTCCAAAGTCCATCACTTCCTAACTCCAGCTCTGTCACTCTGGGTTCATATTGCCACCCTTCTATTCCACAGCCCCATCACTCACTCTGTAGATACCACTGCCTTTGGTGCACCAGGCACGTGGGACACGGCAGACAACAAAACAGATACAAAATCCTTGCTCTCCCTCGAAAAGCTTACCCTGAAGGAGTCTCAGGATCTCCCTGAATTTAACTTGCCCTTTCCCACTTCACTACCTTTGCAAATGATCCTCACGGCTGGAATGCCACTGGGAGGTAGGTCTTCTAAAGAACACCCTCCTTTCCACCCCCAAGAGGGCAGGGACAGGTGAGTCCTTTCAATCCCCAGGTACAGAGCCCAGCATGGGTAGTTAATGATCAGATCAATGTTCCCCTCCCCCATAACACAGACTGTTCCAAGACGACTTCATCTACTCACAAGAGCTCCGCCAACTCCCCGACTTCCCCCACCAAGGCCAGCAGGAGGTTCCGAGGCCGGTGGAACTGGCCCCAGTCTCGTTCAGCAGCAAACTCCGCATGGAGGCGGCGGCTGGAATAGAAGAAAAGGGTGGAAGTCCTGGTTCCAGGGTTAGAGAACCCAAGAGAAGACACAGAGCCCAGGCGGGCATCTCAGTGATATGCAATGGGGGCATAAGTATCAGGGGTTGGGCAACGAATTCCTTGGATGGCCTTAAGCAAATCATTTCTTCTCTTTGGGACTTGGACTCCTCGTCTATAAAGTGGGTGCGCCCTACACAGACCCTCAACTCTATGGAAAACTAACAATACCCTCTTTTCCATTATTCCACCTCTTGCTGCTGCTTCTGCAGTTTCTTCCACCTGAGGAAGAGTCCTCTCTCTGCATATCGAAATCCTACCGATTTTAGAAAAGGGCAGCTCCAGGGACACTTCCCCCTAAGATTTCCTCTTGCATTTGCAAGATTGATTTCCTCCTTGATTTCCTCCAGCAAAAATAATATCACCCACCTCTCAGCACTGCATTTGCCCCGTCCTACCACCCACTCCTGGAGGGCAGGGGCCAGGCAGAAGCAGCATCGGAAGTGGCAGCCCAATTTCCCCAGGGCTGGTTCTGATATTACTCAACGGGCGTCACCATTTCCCCTGCCTTTGGTGGGCATCACTAAGCCCATTTTGCAGATAAGGAGGTGAGATGACTCGCCCGCGATCAGCCAGCCGAGCTGGGACACCAGCATAGCTGCTTAGCCTTCTTCCAGACCACGTGGAGGACCCTCCCCAGTAGGAGGGAGAAAGGGGGCGACCTCCCCAGGCCAGGCAGGGACGGCTTACATGTCCTCGAGCGTGGGCTCCGGGCTGAAGCTGAAGGGGCCGGCAGCAGCAGTGCCGTCTCCCCCCGTGTCCCCACGCGCGTCCCCATTCGCCCGATACATGCCACCCACCACGCAGCAGCCTGGATGCACGGAACAACACCGCGCCAAGCTCGGAACCCGCCTCCAAGGACCCTGACCAATCACAGGCGATCACGACTGCTTCTCGGGGCGGAGCCGCAGGAAAGACCAATTACTTCTGTGGACTTTACTGAAGCCCGCCCTTTACCCCGCGGCCTTGGATTCTTCAGTCTTGGCCGATAGCATCTTAAAGGTATAGAGACCAGATTCGACCGCGAAGAGACAATGGACAGAGGGCGAGGAGGGTGCAGGCGCGTCCCTTCTCTTGTGGGCGCCAGATGGCGCCAAAGAGAAATGACGGAGCGGGGAAGGGGGTGGGGCGCTCCGTGGAAAACCCCAGAAATGGAGGGTTTAAGCGAGAAAGGGAAATTTATTATAAGGATACAAGAATGTCTCCAGGATATAGGAACTAGGGTAACCGTTCTAAGCATTTTACATATTTAATCCTCACACCAACCCTGTGAGGTAGGTAATATCGTCATCACCATTTTACAGGTAAGGAAACAGAGAGATTGAGTAATTTAACTCAACAGCTGATAAGGTGGTAGCCAGGTTTCAGTTCTAGGCAATTTGGTTTCAGAGTCCGTTTTTTAACCCTACCCTATATTGCCTCAAATGATAATAAATACAATGGAAAAAAAAATTATTTAAACACTGTGAAAAGTGGGGGCAATGTTAGATTGCATGATCCAGGGAAGATGGGGTAAGCATTGTTGGTTACCAGCTCAACTGCCTTTTCCCCTCCTGCATTCTTGCACAACCGTGATTTTATTCTGGTGTTCACCCTCCTCTACTTGATTGATCATGCGGCCCCATTGCCCTGGCCTGATCAGTTTATGGGTGAGTATATGGCCTAGTTCTTGACAATGAGAAGTTGAGAAGTCTGTTGGAGACTTCTGGGAAAGATTCTCAGTTCTTTTGTTAAAAAAATCCCAGGATGTTTCTACCTTTAGATGTTAGTATGTGAAGAAATCTTCGTGTGGAGGGCTAGCCCACAAACTGATGGGCAGCGAGGAAGATAGAAAGGACCTGGATCCTTGGTAACATTGTTGGTACACTTATTTCCCAGAAAGGTCCTAATTTAAGACTCTGGTTATATAAAAAAATAAATCCCTTTATTGGTTAAACCACTTTTAGTTGCGTTTTCTGTTACTTGTCTTTGAGAAAGTGACATTTAATCTGAGCAAAAATCAAGGGGAATAGAGCCCTAGGTAGAGGGATCACCAGTGCTTAAAGCAAGAAAGTCTTGGCATGTTCTAAAGACAGAAAGAATTCCAGTGTGGCAAGGAATACGGTGAGGAAGGGGGAGAGTAGTTGGTTGTGGTATTAGGGAAGTGACAAGAGGCAAGATCAGATTGATCAACCATGGATTTTATTTTATATTTTGTTTTATTTTAGATTTTAAGTATTATGGAAACCCTTTGGAGGGCTTTGGCAGGGAAGTTATATGATCATATTTTGTATTTATGAACCCTCTGGCTGCCATGTTAAGAATGAGGGTAAGGGTAGAAGCAGGGAAATGAGTTACTGCAATTGCCCAAGGAAAAGATGATGTTGACTCTGGGCCAGATTGATGGTGAGTGAAGATGGAGAGAAGTGGATGTATTGGGGAGGTATTTTTGGAGTTAGATCTAGAGGCTTTGTTGATTTTGAATTAGAGGTATGGGAGGAAGGATAGAGTGAAGTATGGCTTACAGGTTTTGAATGTTGAGCAACATGGTGGATGGTGATGACTCATACGGGGATGAGGAAAGTGAGGTGCAGGATTGAGCATACATGGCATCAGGAGTTTGGTTTAGAACAAAGCTAATTGAAGCTACATATCGATTCAGTGGATTTATGAGACTAAGGTTTAGAAGAGAGATCAGGGCTACAGATTCACATTTGGTAGTCTCAGTCATTAGACAGTACTTAAAGTCATAGACTTGGAGAAGAATGACTACTACAGGAATCTAGATAGACAAGACTAAGATTTGGGGTACTCCAACATTTAGCAGTTGAGCAAAAGAGAAGAGACAGGTGAAATAACAGGAAAATCGAGAGTGTGGTGTTACAGAGGCTGAGGAGGAAAGTGTTCCAAAACAAGGGGACATCTGATTTGGATGCTGCTGAGCTGCAGGGTAAGAAGAGAGCACAGAAGTTGCTGCAGGATTAGGCAACGTGGAAGTTGGATATGGGATTTGGGAGAAAAGAGGGAGTCCTGGGTAACTCCTGGGTTTCTGGCTTGGGTGAATGGATGGATAATTTTGTCATTTGCTGAAAAGAGGACACAGAAGTTGGGGTGGAAAGGAAGATAATGAATTCAGTTCGGGGCCTGTTGAGTCTAAGATGGCTCTAGAACATCTAGATGACGTCCAGTAGGCAGGTGGACATACAGGTCTGAAGTTCAGAACATTGAGCTGCCTATGTATCTGGGAACTGAAAGTACCTTCCATAGCACCTACCCCAAGGTTTGCGAAGCTTCTCCAGACAAGAATCCAAAGTCTTTTACTGGAATGTAAAACACGGCTTTCTCAGGAGTCGTCTGCATCTCAGATTTTTGAAGAGTCAGGGACCAGGACTTCTAGAGCTCACAGGTCAGATGGTCCTTGGTGATTGACAGGAAGGAGGAGACACTCTTTGTGGGACTGCCTCTGCCTTCCTTCTAGGAGCTCCTGACTGAGCTTGTAAGGCTTTTGCCAAGCATCCTGCAGAACATCCCAGTTCTTTGCTCCATTGCATTGTCCTTGGAAGACCAAGCAAACCCAGCTCCAGCACAGCACAGGGTTGGAGGGGTGGGGAAGGCCCTCATGCAGGAGAGGGAACAGACCTGAACATGTAATTGGCCCCATGATCTGGACCCTTCATCCAGACTCTGTACCCTCAGCCCCACATCCATTCGCTTTTCTCCATTCTCCTCAGACACATCTTAGCAACCCGACCTCCCTGCTTTAGTCAGGGCCTCAGTGTGCTTGGTCTTGGCTTTTGGTTCACATTTGTGATTGGCCTTTACGAGCCTATCCCTTTAGGGACTGGGTGCCCTAGTCTTTCTGACCAAAGGTGTTTTCCCAGTGTAGGCTAATAAATATTTAATGACAGGATGGGCAAGCTGGGACAAGCAAACATGCACACACTGTCCTTCTGTTATGCAAGAGTTTGGCTGCCTTCACCACTGTGCCCAACCGTGTGCAACTGATCCCAGTATGGCTTTTGGAAAACACTGGAGTGGAAGAGGTGGCAACGATTGGAGAACAAAGTAGCAGAGACCCATAAGCTGGGTGGGTGGTGTTGGGGTAGGGAACCTGGACTGCTAAGATCCTAGAGACAATAGAGGATGATGGCAAACTAAGAGTCAGATGATTGGGAACCCAAGCACCAATGCCCTTGGGAAGATTGTTTCTTTTCTCTGAGCCATGATTTCCCTATCTATGTAATGGGGCTCTGGCCTAGGCAGCCTCCAAGGACCCTTCATGTGTGTGCTGGGAAGGCCGGGACAATGTGTATTTTGTTTGTATCACAATGCTGTTCTTATTGGAGGTAGAGCCATTGACCTTGTTGGTTTTGACCTGAGGGATGGCAGAAATGATGCTACTATAACTAAAAGTATTTGTTCTTATTGAGTTTTTCAGGGGGAGTCATGACAGAGGTTTTGAGAAATCTCCAGGCTAGCCCATTCAGGCCAGGGAGTCCCCAACACCTTTAGAAGCCCTTCCTAGGGCACCTGGCTGGCTTAGTCAGTAGAGCATGTGACTCCTGATCTCAGGGTTATGAGTTCAAGCCCCATATTGGGTGTAGAGCTTACTTTAAAAAGAGAGAGAGAGAGAGAGAGAGAAGTCCTTCCCCAATCTATGTATCCAGACTTATTCCCCTACACCCATGCTTAAATCCAGCCAGATGATCCCCACTCTCCCTAATTTTGCTCATATCTGGAATGCCCATTTTCCCTTCTCTGCATATCCAAACCTAAATTCTACTCATTCTGCAGAGCCCTGCTTCAAAGCCACCTCCTCTGGGAAGCCTTCCTAAACTTCCTCCAAAAAGGAAATAATTTGACCACCTATAGCACTTAATCCACTCTAATCCATATGTCACTTACCATTCTTCATCTTGACTTTGGGGTGATGGGTGTCCCTGTTCTAGATCTCCTTTTAGACTGAGTCTCCTGGAGAACAGAAGCAATGTCAGGCTTTTGTTTCTCCAGGGCCTGGTACTTGATTAGATCTAATAAATACTAATTTATAGGACCATGTCTCATGGGATCCTCTCCATGACTTCCCTGCTGTAGGTGGGTATGGCTGTGCCTATTTTACAGATGAAGAAACTGAGGCCCAGAGACTTCTCTGAGATCACCCAGAAAGGTGAATGCTGAAGCTCACCAGTACCCCCCAATGCTCCTCAGCAAGTGAAAGAAATCTCCCTACCCCCACAAGGGGGTAAAAGAGGCAGCTCAATATTTTTGGTATTAGCTGAGCTTACCTTGCTACTGCCTTTTCTTCTGTTCTTCCGTCCTGTCTTTTCATCTTCTTTCTCTTCCTCTATCTTCAACTTCCTCTCCTTTTTCTTTTCTGCATTTTGCTTCCTTTTCCTTTTCTTTCTCTTTTCTTCCATCACCTTCCTTTCCTCTATTTGTGATTCTGTTCTGATTTCTACCCAAGGCCGTGTCCCCTCCACCACCTGCTGCCTCTCTTTTGCTGCCCAGCTCCTCCCCAAGGAAAAGATGGATGCCTATCTTGCTCTCAACCCCTAACCTTTTCTAGGTTAACTAAGAGGACGCATCCCATCATTTTCCTCCCCTTTTGTACTGCCCACTCCAACCAGTTAGAGAGCTGTGTATGTGGACAAACAGAACCAAGGCCTGAATTTCTTCTTCAAAGCCTTGTCTTAAGAGATTGGTGATACCAGCCTCCACCACTAGGAGACACCAAGAGCAAGGAAAGTGTGGACAAAGAAGGTGCTAGGGTCCCCAGCGTTTACCCTACTCACTCACTCATTTATTCAATATATTCTGAGCACTAACTATGGATCAGACAGTGTTCTAGGTACTGGGGATACAGAACAT